TGCGTTTCATTTTGAATTATGGGTAATTGAGTCCTAAAAAAGCCCAAAAATTCGATTTTTTCACCTATTTGTCGACAAAAAATATACTTATAGTCAGAAATTAAAAAATCCCAAAAGCACGATTTTTCGTCTTATTCCTAGTCGTCGAAAAATATAAAAATCAGTGATCTTGCGTAATATGTGTAGCCAGGTTTGCTCGGTGATTGGCTAAAATATGACGCTGCGAAATCCCGAAAATTATCGACCTTTTTAATGAAATACGAAAAAATCATCCATTTAGCGCAAAAAATCACAATTGAATGTATGTCAAGACGATAATTTTATTTTATATCAACGATATTTTCCCTTCGATACTAGTTTGTTTATTTTCAAATGTTTTGCGATTAGCCCAAAATAGCGTCTTGTAACCTGATACTTTATCGAACGCCCCCAGCAATGGGAATGAATGGCCTAGTGACAGACCGCCGTGAATAGGTACAATCTGCGTAAAATGACTGGATTGCAAGGTTTGACCAACTCATCGGGATGGATCCCTGCTCTTTTTGAAAAGTGCAAGGGGATCACTGACATGCTAGAGGTGTATCTCTGCTCAAACAAGGGCGCTCCAATGTTACTCTACACCCAAGAGTCAAGTGATACGTGCAAAGTTCCTTTCAAAAGGACACAACACCGGTACTTAGTATGGGTTCACCTGAAAGCAATCAAAAGAATCAAATAAAGCACCTAGTGATGCCTCCTTTTCTCTGCATCCTTACATGGACAAATCAGAAGATGCAGGTTTAGTAACATTCTTATCTCTTAAGACTAGCCTTTAGCTCACCAATATAGACGTTTGAATAGTAAGGGACACTTATCTTTGAAGATTAAGCAGAAATCCATCAAACAGATTATTAAGTAGCCACCTAAACGTTTTTGGCCACTTTTTGAAACTTAATACATAACGTTCTTCAAAATATAGTTGACTGTGGTCAAAAAGCTATTTTCCTAAGGTGAAGAGGTAAATAATGTTGTTTTAAAAGAGAAAAGTGAAGCTTAAAACTACAATGTTTAATAGGTTTAGTCTCTTACACCCCACTTTCTAGTCCTGTAGCATACTGGGTTACAGGGCATGTAGCACATTTTTTTATAGAGAAGTGAACAATAATTTTAGGAAGTATGTTCTTTGCTTATCATTGTTTACATGCAAATACTCCTCGAAGCTTCTTTAAATATTATGATGGATAGATCTCACAGAAGATAAAAAGGACTGAGTGAAGAGACTCTTTTTACACAACCAAGTCTTTTATTCAGCCGACGTTTCGGTGACCGTCTGTCACCTTCCTCAGAGCAATTCTGACTGGCTCACATCGTATTGCAGCACAGGTGTCGCTGCTATAGATGCATTACCAAATGTGCACTATTTACATATCTACACATATGTGTGATTGGATTACAGGGAAATGTATCTACAATGCGTTCCAAAAGTGCGGAAGTTGGATATATATACATAATAGTGGTCAGTTATTTAACAGTTATAGAAAACTAGGAACGGAATCCACAAAGCGGTTGCTAGTTTCCTGTAACTGTTAAATAACTGACGACCATTATGTATACATATATACCCAACTTCCGCACGTTTGGGAACGCATGGTAGATACATTTCCCTGTAATCCAATGTAGATATGTAAATATTGGACATTTGGGAATGCATCTACAGCAGCGACACCTGTGCTGCAATGCGATGTGAACCAGTCTGAATTCCCTGAGGAAGGTGACAGACGGTCACCGAAACAACAGCAAACACAATAAGCAACGAGCCTCGTAGATTTACTTCTTCTTAATATATTAAGATTACAAGCTAATGTTATCATTATTCTAATATATAACTGTAAGATGAGGCATCTTCAAGACATTTTATGAGACAGCAAGATCCTATTAGCAACCGGGATTTGACGACATAGGCATGTAGATTGCTGAGGTGCTTTATTGTTTTAAAATGGGCAAATTTCTATATTGTATAGAATCTAAGAGAGTCTAAATTTAAGAGAGTTGTTACTGTAATTATTTATTAATGCCTTTAACTATTTTTTATTGTCTAAGAAATATTATTGTTTGGAAGTATTTGGAACACATTTTTTTAAATCTAGAATGTTTTAAAGTTAATATAAAACTTTTGAACTGTTCGTAATGTGAATAGTTTGGAATTTCTTACTAATGGTGACAGCAGTCCACCATTATTATTATTATTATTAACATCGTAAATGGGTCAGTGGGAAAGTGGGAGTATGACAGGGCATCATATACAAAAGATACACCAGTGTCCAACAGTGACATCTAAAATATACAAAGGTAGTCAGTAGGGTTGAATTAGTAGTAAGGCAAGAGCTCAAATAATCATTGGAAAACAGTAACAAATAGTTGTGATTTTTTAATAAAAAATTAAAGCATCACATTCTATCTAGTAATACTATTTGGAATATTTTCAAAAGAAAGAAATCCTTGTACATTAAGTTTCAAGATGTTCCAGAAATATCTAAAAATTAAATATAAACAAAATCAAATATATTAAAAATCATTACTATTTAGAATAATTTGAAAATCCTCTCGGTGACATGGACTCTAATATCGGGACTGGGAACATTTTATCTAATATTTTGCAAAGAAGAACTGTGCTAAACGCTTTAATGTCCGGATGAAGTTTCTCTTATAGAGATTTTTAAGTCAGAATTGTTTTTATTATGTTGCTCTTCACTCTGATTACTAGTAAGAGTGCATTAATATCTGGTAAAATACAGAATGAATAATGTCCCTAGATGACTTTTAAAATTTTCTACGACCGCCTGGGTGTCGACCACAGACAGCCAGACATGGAGGTTCCTATGCGGAAGAACTGTTTCATCAGGAGGATGCGATCCTGATTGAGCTAAACATACTTAAAAACATCCTCATGTAAGACTCCATGTTATTACATTAGTACGTATGGAATCCACATAATGTTCAAGATGTATCTACAGTAAAGAATTATATTTATGAAGATGGTTGCAAGCTATTTCAACATTGGTGGCATAATTTAAAATATATATATATCATTATGAAAAACTTAAACTTTTCTCCAACTCAAAATTTGACTCACCAGAAATTACCCTTTGCTGACGTCACACGTGGGAAAAATCACGTGTCCACAGCATTTGGGTCAGATAGCTGAGGAAGACTGAGTGATTCAGTCGAAAATTTCTGGTGAGTCAAATTTTGAATTGGAGAAAAGTTTAAGTTTTTCATAATGTAATTTACCAACTCAGATGAAATTTCATGCAAATATATATATCATCTTTCTTCTGATTTTTGGAAGTGATTGGAAGGATACCTTCCTTAAATAAGTGTTTTTTAGGATTGCTTAGCACGATTTAAACTATCTGTACTGATTGGTGCACCAACGACCCTCAGCGAGGTCAAGGGATAGATGGGGTAAGGTGAGGTGAGAAGTACTGATTGGCCTGATTGGTTAAACATGAATAACCAGAATTCATTACATTAAAATATGGTCCAAAATTATGTCTAAAATATGAAAAACTAGGAACAAGTTTGGCAATGTAAAAATCAATACCTTGATAGTCATGTACTACTAATATATTGGCAATAAACTATTGCTTTGGAATTTTAAGACTCATGTTGACACTCATTTCAATTCAATTGTAAAGCTTTATTAAACAGAATATAGACTTATTATTAGGACTCTAATCTCCATGATTGGTTGCAACAGAGTTTGCAGAGCAGGTGATATGAATCATCACCTCACGATCACAACTGTCATTAAAGTTTAACTGATTTACCAGTTAAAGACAGGTTATTACTCTTTCACGCATACCTGTTGGGGACCGCAGGACCACACGTCTTTATCATATTAGCGCGTTTCGCTTCCAGGTAAGTAAAACTACCACAGATGTAATACACTATTACCTAAAATATACTGCTGTGCAGATTTTCTAGCGTCTGATGTCTGTTTCTACTTACGCCGTAGTTTCTTTTCGGTAAGAGAGCTGTAAAGGGGGAGGGCTGTATCGGGAGGATCGGGGAGCTGTATCCACCCTTCCTCGGTAGGCGGATACAGCAACCCCCGATATAGCTCCAAACCCCCACACCATAACGAAACTGCCGCATTCTCGCCAGCTGTACAATAAGCTGCTCAATATGCATCACACTAACCAACAGTTGATCCAGCAGCAAATATTACCTAAAAATAATCCTACCGCGCAGACTTTTTAGCGCTCAGCAATTGTTCTTTTCGGGACGAGAGTTGGATATTAGAGGAGGGCGGTATCAAGTGGATTGGAGAGCCCTATTCGCCATTTCTATGCAGGCGGATAGAGCAACCGCAACCCCCGATATTGCTCCCATCCCCCCAACAAACTGCAAACACTCTAGCTGCAATGGTAGAAACTAAGTTTGGGCAAATGAAAGGCTATCAGCAGATACTCACCAAGTTGAACATGGCAGAATGTCCCTACAAATCCTGGTCTGCAATCACATTCCGGGAACCGTCGGTCGGCTGACTCCATACACACTCCTCCGTTCTCACAAGGGTTGGGGGAACACTGGGAGTAATGATGAACATGCAGTTCCTTAACTTATAAGGGACAATGTATTATCTGATAAAGATTGACCTATTCACTATCATCGACATGCTGTCACAGATAAATGCTTTTCCTATCTTCAATATCAGGACAAACTGTCTCTAAACCATCAAACATAATTCTTTCATTATGATGAAGAAAGTTAATTGAGAATGTTGTGTTAAACAATAAGTTCATTAACTTAACAGAATTTCTCAGATTTAGAGAATTTCTCTTATTGTGCAAATCAGATAATAATCTGCAAATCTATCACCATGTTGGAATATAAAAACACGATACGGCACACGCACAAAAATACTACGATCTCTCCGCAATTTCTTGAGTTAACCTCTTTTAAATGTTTTTGATAATGAATTTGAATATTAGTAAAACGTTAAACTTCAATATTCTTCTGATTCTTCGAATTCAGCTCCATGAAACTCACCAGCTGTACTGAGGTGTCCTCATCAACCATCCCATCCTGGTCATCATCCAGACCATTTGGGATTTCCTCCCCTGTCTGCCCATCACAGTCGTTATCCACACCATCATTAATTACTGCTGTAGTATTTGTGCAAGCTGCAGAAATGTTGTATCGTTAAGACATTTTATATTCTACACACGGAAGATATTAAAACATCTATTTTCTTCCCAGCATCAGGTTTTTGTGCGAGTAAATACCCTTTCACTGCTGTTAAAAACCTTCCCATATTTTTACAACAACATCAGTCCAAGTATGATATAAAATGAAATGTAGGTGTTCGGATTCTATTTCTGCCATCATTCCAAGAAATAAGCCTAAAGGTAGCTTTAGGGAGATGATACCTGAGATGCCAGCATCCCATGTTATTTTTCTCTTATTTTTCACTTAAGACTGAACCATGCGTCCTTCACCGTTATTACAGGAACAGCCGCCGTGCGGCTGTACCATTATGTCAGCACTAAGGACACAACTTCATCATTATAATTACAGGAACAGCTGTACCATTACTTCACCATTACGGACATAACAATGATTCCTTCACCATTATTACAGGAACAGCCGCCGTGTGGCCGTACCGTTATTTCAGTACCAAGGACAGAACATTGATTTATTCACCATCAACTTAGAAATAGCTGCTATGTTGCTGTACTATTATTTCAGCACTAAGGACATGGCAGTCATCCATTCACCATTATTAGTTGCTTTGTTGCTATACCATAATGTGAGTAATGACAAAATCACGATCCTTTCACCACTGCTACGTACAGGAACAGCCGCTGCGTTGCCGTACCATTATTTCAGCACTAAAGACAAAGAGTTTTTCCTTGACCATTATCATCATTACCAGTGCCTATGTTGCTGTACCGGTATTTCAGCACTAAGGACAGAACCATGATTCCTTTACAATTATCATAGAAACAGCTGCTGTGTTACTGTACCGTTATTTCAGCACTACGGACAGGACCATGGTTCGTTTACCATTATTACAGAAACAGCCGCAGTGTTACTGTACCGTTATTTCAGCACAAAGGACAGAACCATGATTCCTTTACAATTATTATAGAAACAGCTGCTGTTACTGTACCGTTATTTCAGCACTAAGGACAGGACCATGATTCGTTTACTATTATTACAGAAACAGACGCAGTGTTACTGGACAGAACCATGATTCCTTTACAATTATTATAGAAACAGCCGCAGTGTTACTGTACCGTTATTTCAGCACTAAGGACAGAACCATGATTCGTTTACTATTATTACAGAAACAGACGCAGTGTTACTGTACCGTTATTTCAGTACCAAGGACAGCACCATGATTCCTTTACCATTATTACAGAAACAGCCGCAGTGTTACTGCACCGTTATTTCAGAACTAAGGACAGGGCCATAATTCGTTTACCATTATTACAGAAACAGCCGCAGTGTTACTGTACCGTTATTTCAGCACTAAGGACAGGACCATGATTCCTTTATCATCATTACAAAAACAGCCACAGTGTTACTGTACCGTTATTTCAGCACCAAGGACAGAACAGTGATTCCTTTACCATTATTATAGAAACAGCTACTGTGTTACTGTACCGTTATTTCATCATCAAGGACAGGGCCATGATTCGTTTACCATTATTACAGAAACAGCCGCAGTGTTAAATTACTGCACAACAGACAGGACTATCAAACACCATCAATTTGGCAAAATATAAAGATAAACTAAAATAACTCGTTGAACACACTTGTTAGGTCAGCCAACAGCAATCCAGCAGGGTAGCCATATGACTCGGTGTCAGTGAAGCCAGTGACGTACACGGCAAAGTTGACATTCGGGGCGAGGTGGCGGACACGGTGGGGACCTGGAGTGATCTCAAATGACACAGCTGCCCATTCCCCGCCCTGAACAACCTGCCAACCTACGGGGAAACAGGCAGTGACATCAATCTACTATTATATAATAATAGTCATAGCTGTACACAACCGTAACATCTGGAAGTAACTTTTCTAGTTGTCGGCTGTACTATGGGAGAAATAAAGGTCTATGGTAAGTTATGAAAGAAGTCAGAACTATTACAGACATTTTTCTCTGAATGATTCTGAAATTGCTATCAGGGACAAGTCAGTTTATTCTCCTGAGAATTGGTTGCAATCCATGACTTCTATCTTCTGAAACAGAATGACTTTGAAACAAATGAACTGTAATTTCAACACACTAAAAATGTTGGTATTTGTTGAGCAACACTGATCATTCCTTGACAAAGAGTTGATTAGTCTAGTCCATGTTTGCTGGAAATTACAGTTGAAACCTGTAATCCTTACCTGGCAAGTTGCCAATGTTGTTGCCATCCACATACATCTGTGACCTCCCACTCTCCTTCACAACAATGCTGGCCATGTACGTAGCTGGGGCTGTGGTGTTGAAAGCTGCCGCAGTGAAGGTATAATCTGATGTGGTCTGCTCCAAAGGTGTAACGACCATCATAAATGGTCCTGAGTCTGCAAATCCATTATGGCCTGGATCCCCAAACAACACTGCCATGACCGGAGCAGTGGAAGTGATGTACTGGAATGTTTCTGTAGTTGGAATGTAGTCATAAAATTGCCCTCTATTGAGGTAAATATCCTGGCCATCGATGGTGACTGTTGTGTCGTTAGCGGCTACAAAGCGATAGATGTCCCCGACTGTGCGTCCGGCGATGGGAACTGTCACAAATTTCCTCCCCCAGGTTTCCACAGAGGGAAGCTGCTGAATCAGGTAACCTCCATCGTCTGCTGCACCGTCAATCCGTGTGAACTTATTGCCGCTGTACACCACGAGAGGTGACGTGCCCTGAGACAACAATTTAAAAAGAATCTCAGAAATCAAAAGTTGATTTAAGTCATCAGGTTTGGGGTTTAAAAGGAAATTTGAAAGTAATAGACCCTTTAAAAAAAGGCCCAACAAAACAGTTACAATACACTGGGAATGAATGAATGAATGAATAAATGAATGAATGAAGCTTCATTTCGGCGTCTTGCACTTTATGCTCCCAGTCTGTGTGTGCTAGAAACACTAAAAAGAAACACTGCAGAGACACTAGAAAGAAAATACATACTAAAGGACAGATATAAATCAAAAAGGACTGGACCTACCAACTTTACCTACCCTGTTAGACACATGCCCATAACACTTACAGAAATATTCTTTAACAATCACACAAAAGATAATATAGATGAAAAGCATTCCATTTCTCTCTTTACATTTTGTTTATGATCCGTCAAATATACACTTCTAATTTGCTCTCAAAAATTAAATTTTACACAGCACTAACCGTGATGTAGGAGCCAGTTAGGTCACCATCACTTTGGATCTGTGCCGTCTGTTGGCTATTCAAGAAGAACCTGATTATCTCCCCTGGTCTATACATGATGCCTGTAAATGTTGCAGAGGCAGTGACAGTCACAGCCACTGATGTACCATCAGCTGCCCCAATGAGTGTGATCATGGAAGGTTCTGAGGCTGATGGAGGCAGGCAGATGGCATAGTATTCTGTTCCGATGGTATCGAGAGGATAAGCAATAAAGCCATCAGCAGCTGATGTTTCTGAGTAAAGTCCGTACAGGGCAATCTCTTCATCTGATGTGACCTTTAACCCAAACGCGTCCAGGGCATATCCTTGGATCTCAAACCTCTTTGGAATAGCAACAGCCTGTAGAAAAAAATTTGTTTGCTTGTTGATCTAGGTTTGTGTCAAAACAAATGCTAGGCATAAAAGTAAGACTTACTGCGTTTTAGATTACAAATTGCTAGCTGTTTGACATTATCAATATTATATGACATATGGAATAAGGAAATAGGGACTGTTCAACAGAATTGAATTATAAAGATTATCTTATGCATAATGGATTAACAGTTGCTATGTCGTCCAAGTGTTACCATGACACACTTTACATTGCAAACATAAAAGAAAATATGAGATACTGATATTGCAACCTATACTGCAACCTATGCAAGCGTACATTGTTATAGTTAAGAAATAGCAAAGAGAAGGATAAACAGCTTATTAACCCTTGTCCTGCTGGCATTCCTGGCACAATATTTTTCAATATTTTCATGTCTTAATTAAATAAAAAAAAACACAATTTTTTTTGCCCTGCAGTGAAATAGTTACTTCCGCATTCGTTGCGTTTCACTGCGGTGTAATCCGTTGCACGAGAAATACTCCCAAATCGTACCTATTCAGGGTGTTATATAGATGGTACTGAATGTGCCGCGCAACATATGTTGCGCACAGCAGGACAAGGGGAAAGTTCTTTATTCATCAATCAGTAAATTTTTCATGAACATCCACTGCTTCACTGTCTGTCACCTTCTTCAGAGAAAGAATTGCACTGCCTAAATAAGCAATTTACAGACCTGTACTGTGCCTGCCTCTACAACAACTCTCTGGGAAAAAACACCACTCCTGGACTGAATGGTGACATTAGCTGATGTTGCCATGCCAACCACGAACAGCTGAGGATTCGCAGTGTTGGCATCAATGTTTTCTGGAAATCCAACGATGAATTCTGTTCCTCTGTAGTCCGGGTAAGACGCCACTAGACAGAAAATAGATCATTTAGATTTGTTACAAATTAGCATACAACCATGAGTGACCTAGAGGGGCTAGCTTTTGCTTGGGAGGCAGTGAGAAGGAAACGCTGGACAGAAGAGAATGGAAAACAGCGGTGACCCGTGTTGTTGACAGATAATAGCCACGATAATGATGGTGAAAACACACTGAGACCCATATGGTCAACTACAAAGTAAAAAAAAAAATTGAAATACACAATATAGAAAATCACAAATTCTTCTTACTATAAACAATTGAGGCCAACCAATAATTAACTATTACAATTTTTGGGGGCTATATAAGTGTGGGTTTCAGTATCTTTTCTAATGACAAAACAGTGCGTACCTAATAGATACATGTTTGCATTTGTTGAGATGTTATATGATGCATGGTGGTATGACCTAACGGTAAAAATTTCAACCCTTATGTTATGTAGTGTGATTGTTCATGAATGTGTTTTTGCTTTGCTAACATATATTTCAGATTTAAACTTTAAATGTGGATATTCAATGTGTGAAGAACAGACGAAGTGGCCACTGTTGTCAAGAACCAGACATTGTCAAGACATATGTCGTAGAGTTTTTAATAAAGATTGAATTAAACTGAATGTATGATACCTGTGAAATTGCCTTGCTGTCCACTTCCACCACCGCCGCCGCCGGTGCTCAAGGAGTCCTCAAGGTTGACTTCGTAGGAGTCTGCCACTGTTAGATCGAACACTGCTAACACTGAACCTGACGTCCTACACAATAAGGCAAAAGATAGTGGTATGAAACAGACTCTTTGTCACTTGAGCATGAACGATGCCTAAAGTAGCACTAAAGGTAGGAGGAGGACTCTTAAGGACCTATGTGCACATATTATTTACTTGTCTTCATGAAATTTTCATCTAAAATACTAATAATTTTTAAAATAACTCTCTACCTTAGACTTAACCCCATCACACGAAGGCTGGAAAAAATGTTTCATATGCAAGACTACCAAAATGAAGAATATTAAGGTAGGCATTATTATACCAAATTGATTGTAAGAGATACAACACTAATAATGGTTTAAAGGCATTGTGGTTCTGTCCTTGGTGCTGAAAAGGCGGTGCAATGTGATCTCTCACATGTATCATAATCATAGATACCGAAGTATAATGTCCCTAAACTTATCTTCACCTTTACCTTATATATCTCTGGTCATTTGATGAAAGAACCAAAGGAAAACAGTGAAAAATGGCACTGATCTTGTGTAAAACAAAAAGTAGCGGTGTTTCTGCTGATGATGACTTGAGGAAATTTCATTCATGTTTCAAGTCTAGAATCGAACAGGAACTGTCTCTGGCGCTGAATGTTTGTCTATTATTTCTGTCATAGAGTAACAATTAAAGATCTTGGTGTAATGAAAGAGTTATGTGCAATAGCAATGCTATACATTCGAACAATAGTACTAGTTACTTACCAGGGTTGGATATCTGAAAGTGTGGAGGTCTGCAATCCAGTGATAGATTGAAGAAGAGGTCCTACCTAAAGTTGGCACAAGGGCAAACTTTCCATTTGCACAGGTAATTAAGTGAATGGAATAGACATTTGGCAATATTTTCAACAACAACACTTTCCCGGTTATTCATACAAACTTTAATTTGTAACAATTTCTTTTAGATAGAACAGAGACAGGCTGTTCATCTGATATAAACTTTTGTACTTCTACAACAACTATAACAACGAAAAGCTGAAAGTAAAGGATAAATGTTGATATCTTACCCCAGCATGTAAGGACTGAACAACTCCAGAGTAAGAGACAGAGCCGGGGTCCCTTAAATGGGAGGTGTAATCACCGCTGAGACTGAAGGTGACATGGGTGGTGCTTCCAACTATTCAGAAAACAAAACAAACAAATGAGACACTGCCAAAATCAAAACTGCTAACCAGGATACATCATCTAAAGCAGATGGACAAAGATATGTGGGAAATATGTGTATTTGTTTTTATTTATTAGCAATGATACATGACATTAACTGGGTTAGTACAGGCAGACTAGTGATGGCTGACACACACAAAAGTACAAATAAATGACACGTTTTGATACAAAAGGAATTAACTAAAGTAGTTGAGAATCTAAGATAAAATACAAATTAATGAAATATGTTTAAAAAATGCAATAATCAGTGAAATACACACGTACTGGTAGGTAATACTTGATAATACATGAGACGTTAACAAGGCTAACAATTACAACCAAACAGGACCATAGCTTTACAGAATACAAAATTGTAAGTACATATGTATCCACTGTTATGTATGAAGTATAATAAACTTGAGTACATGGAAGGCTTAATGAAGATTCTACGTTTGTTATGTGTCTGTCATACTCAGTATCTTGACCTGTACCTAGCCCGTCGTGGCATGAATGTACAATAAAGGTATTTCACATTAATAACTGAAAATCAGAACAGAAGGTGAGTTTCCCAGTGAGTATTGAATTATCTGAGTGTAGAAGAGTCAGTGACATGTTTGGGTAGGTTATTCCAGAGCGGAGGTGTGGAAGGGATGAAACTGTTCTTAAGCCACACCAATTTAATTTGTTGGTTCTTGGATTTTTAAAGAAAAAATATGAAGCGAAAGGGCGAAAAAAAAAATAAAAACAGGCATTGGCATCCTATTATAGCCCCAAATGCTTCAAAAGGAGCCATTAAGCCAACAGAAAAGGTAGGAAGGACTTTCCTCAACTGTCGGGGGCAAAATATGAGCATTTCTTAGTTGATTCAGATCCAGAATTTTATTTTCTTTGAAAATCAGAAAAAAATGAAGAGGCGAATCCGAGAACCAACAAATTAAATCGGTGTGGCCTTAAAGACAATGTTCTGCCTTGACAGATATGAAAGTGTACGGAGTTATGTACATGTAGGTGTACTAGTTGGAGTTGACTTTGGGATTGTCTTGTTGGTGGGATAAGAATAAAAAGATAATCACCATTGTTGACCAACTCAGGTAACATGTTCCCTAGGTGGTACAGCCTGCCTGGGTTACTGATGGAGAAGTGACGGAATCCAACATTCCCAAACTGATAGCCAATGCCCAGCCCGTACACAATGATGCCAGCACTTCTCATTGCAGTTAATGCATAGGCGGCGTTATCATCAGATGGTCCTGATGTCACCACCATTGCCACCTGAAGGTTTGGTAGAATGCATAGTTAGCAAATTTAGCAAGCAAAAAGATCAGAAATTTCAGACTTCTGTAAAGAGTTTGGGTATCTGCAAAATTTAATGTATTGGAAGTATGCTGGCCAGTATAATCTGAAGATTTCGTAGAATGCATAGTTAGCAAATTTAGCAAGTTCAAACAAACAGATCAAAAGTTTGTATCTGCAAATGTATTGGAACTATTCTGCACCATATAATCATACAGAAATAATAAAACTACATCATAGAATGGGTTATTGGCATACAATATTATGATGTAATTCACACACAGACTGTTATTACATCATGATTTATGTTCCAAACCATGTTTACACAGTACTGGAAACCTTACAAAATGTATATGCATGATGTACAAAATGACTAATAAACTGGTGGATGTCCCAACTACTAAGTACCTAATACCAGCCCAGAAGAGAACAAGAAATAGCCATGCATTCAAGTGCCAGAGTTATCAACCAAGGATTGGGGTGTTCAAGAACTCATTCTTTCCTAGAACTATCGCAGAGTGGAACTCACTGTCACCAAGTACAGAAGGGGCATTGTCAATAGATAGCTTTAAACAATGTCTAGAGCTAGAAGTTCAAGGGTTAGGTGTAACAAGTCGATCGGTGTAATATAGCCAGCTGCCGCCGCGCCGGGTGCCTGCGAAGCTGGTGTGTTATGCCGAAAGGCGGTTATATATATACCGGCTATACAGATACAGATTACAGTCTATCACAAAATCCTATAATATTCTATCATACCGGATAACAACCCTGTCGATTAACTGAAACCCAATCTCTGCCCACTCACTTCCCATCCTTAAACTAAGGACATGATCCATACAAAATCCCTCTAAACAGCACCCAATAGACATCCTCTGTGAAAATCTTTGGGTTCAGAACCCTCCCCAACCCAAAATAACTTTAAGGTTCACGTCAGATTTTTAACCGGGAGAACCCAAACTTTCCCGGTTCAATCTCCAGATGAACCCTGGAGAACCTGCCTGAACCAATTTGTTACCTTCTGAATGTGAGCCCGCTGTGGGTCGTTAAAGGCAGTCTGGTAAACACTCTGCAGAGCTGCTCCCAGGTTTCTGTCTCCACTCCTCTGCTGTAGCATGTCCATGGCCTCCCCTACCTGAAAACCAAAATATGTTCATTTTGTTTGCCGTCTAGTTTTTATACAATTATATCTGCCAGGTCATGCATTAATCAAATTCATTAATGAGGTAAAATCTGACACAGCATAATGTACATGTACATCTACCCTACATCAACTACTGTATAATAGATATAGAGAAACAACAACCCCAGAAAGTCCACACCTTTATACAATCATGTACATTAACATCTTTCAAAGACTCTCTGTGAGTGGGACTTGAGTGGCAAATGTTTTTACGATTGTTATGTATGTTGAGTTGAAATTGTAATGTTATTCTTATTGCATGTTTTCCCATGTATATTGTGTATTTTACATACAGTATGTAACCCCAGAGAAAAACAGGTCAGTAGACCTGAGTGTATTAGACTGGTAAAATAAAAAAAATGAAATGAAAAAAAAATTGTACCTCTCGATAGCTCCTGAAGAATCTGTACCCCAGCTCTTGCCAAACCGTGGAGCCATACTGGTAAACACTGAGCCATGCAACATTTGGGATGTCCAGACTACCAGCCACTTTCTTCACCAAGGTCTTGGAAGCCTCAAAGTTGGCCTGTGTGGTGTCGGTTGCACCATCCAGAAGTATTGTCATGTCCATTGGCCGTGAGAACACAGGCACTAGATTCAAACATGGAGGAAAACAGTTTAAAATTATGTCACTATACAATAGCATCAAATACACAGAATGAATTGAATGTACAATTAATTATATTGCTCCACAATCGTACATGGTTCAATGTATGGCAGTAGAACAACAATATAGTACTTACAAAACTAAACTAAGCTAATACAATTACTGCTACACATGCAAATTATGAACTATTCATTTTCTCCTGCATGCATCCCTAACCAAAACTGGGTACTCAATTTTTGACAAGTGTGGAAATAGCCTTAGGTGTACAGTGTCTTTCTGTAGGGCACAACATTGGGGCCAGTGCAAGGGATTTGAACTTAAACCTTAAGACCTCAAGCCAACAACCCTGACCAGGAGACCACCTTGCCATCCCTAGATCATGCCCACAGTGCTCACCATCTGGAGTGATCTGAAATCCTGGGAACATTGTGAAAACCGCTGGGTTGAAAATGGCGATGTTGAAGGTGTCGTTGAAATGATAGAATTCCTCCATAGATGCCTGAAGGGCTGGTATGGCTGTTGTGTCTGCCAATATTTGCATCAGTATTGCTGTGTTGCCATAGCTGAATTAACATAAGAGCACACCAATACACATGTAAGAACTCTTGTATCAAATTATCAGATTATCAAATAATCATTTTATGCTCAATGATAATGTAATATTCAGTAAATAAAATTACCACATAGCTCATTTTTTTAATGAAAGTGTACCTCACCTGTTACGTACATCATAGACCACCATACTGTAAACTCTTGCTATGTCCTCTGCTACAAAGGTTGCCTTAAGGGTACATATGAAAAACATTTCATGAAAGAAATCACAAGACAGTTAGTATAGCTTCAGTTGATGAATTCTGTTATAATAGAGTACATTACTCATAATCATGTTTGTATGATGAAACTTATTGCACCATTGTTTATGTTTCATATATTCTTGGCAACCAGATCCTTGAGCATACTACACACTGGGTGAAACCCTGTCAATCAAGGGAAACCCAAGCTCTGCCCACTCACTTCGGAATCCAGACACATTAAGTTAACCTAGCATAGATTACAGTACAGAAAGTAACTAAAAAGGTAAATTAACCCAAAACAAGATGTTCGTTCTGGAAGTAAATTCTGTATATACAAATCTCAGATCATACCTGTAAGATGGGAATAAAGAAAATCAGAATGGAGGTGGGGGGCCTCAGCCCAACATCTTATAATAATATTTAAAATTTTGGTAAAAAATGTTACTCACAGCCCATTCTGGGATCAGCTTGAAGTTGACAAACTCTTCAGAACCCACATTGTTCATGGAAGGCATGAATGTGTCCATGGTCTCCACTGTCAGGTAAGCTGTGTCCACAGCTGGAGAAAATAAGAAATAGACATTCTATCAATTATCATACTAACTGCAGATATTGTAAATTATTGTTGATCATGTTGATTGAATTACACCATCATGACATGGAATTACGTACTTGGTGCATGCTACTGCATGTACTTTTTGGTGGTTTTATATTGCAGCATAAGGAAAGGAAATTTTTGGAGTGTTTGATGTTCACATCCAAAATGATTATTATTATTATTACAGTAGTACAATCAATATAGAAATACAAAACACATATTCGCAGTGTTGATTTCTCTGACGAAGACAGCACTGCAAGAATTGCAAAAACAAAACCACTGCAAAATTTTCAGCATTTAGTCTTAACTGGTCACAACTTGTTGGTAAAAATACAAAAATTCTTATGCTTAAATATTGTTCAGAATTAATCAGCAAACTATGAGACAGTGAAATATGCATTGCTTATCAAAGATGGATGAGGATATGTTATTAACATCATAGTAGAAATATGATATAAATATCATAAAAGAATTACCTGTTTGTCCAAAAAAGTTCACTTCACCAATGACAGGGGAGAGTCCACCATATGTGCTCATGATCAGTATGCGCCAATAGCGCCCCCTAGCTCTGAAGCCACTGAACTGTACTGCATCCACCCCCTGCCTGGCTGCAAACGTCTTCACGTCCCTCCAGCGCCACAGGCCTCCCGGGGCAACTCCTCGAGAAACCTGGACATCACAAGTATTACAGTTGGTTCCTTGGATGAGTAGGTGTTAAGGCCATACTAATTTAATTTGTTGGTTCTCAGATTTTTTCAGAAAAAATATGAAAAAACAGGGCAAAAAAATAAAATCAGGTCTAGGCATCCTATATAATTATAGCCCCAAATGCTTAGATAGGAGCCATGAAATCAACACAAAAGTCTGGGTTAGCATTTTAACCATGAATTTTGAACTTTTAAACCACTACAGTGACTGTAGATGGAAAATCTGTAACAACTAGAAAGAAAAGGACTTTCCTCAACTGTTGGGGGCAAAATATGAGCATATTTGAGTTGATTCAGAACCAGAATCAGAGAAATCCGAGAACGAATCCGAGAACCAACAAATTAAATTGATGTGGCCTAATGCTACAGAATGTTTGGAAGCACAGTTTGTAATATCAAAACTACATACATGCAGTTGAGTTTAACTTTTCCTTTTGCACATTGGCACATTGCACATTGGCGCAAGACACGGTAAAAGTCCAGTTCAAATAACTGTGACCCAAAGGTCCCTCCAATGTTACGGGTTACATTAATAAGGCTATAACTGCAACTCTTCTCCCTAAGTCAGAAACATGTATAATGATTGACATCAACAAGCTCGATTCACGGATCCAAAAGAAAAGCAGAGTTTGCAAAGTCTGCTTGGGGAATTCCATATCCCATTCACACTAGAACAGGTTGGATCCACTCACACCAGGAAGGACCCCTACTACTTGTAATAAGTATTGTGAGCTCTTTCTTTTTTTTTTCAAAAACGATAAACATACAATGTAGTGAACCGTCCCTTACATAATACTAATCATAATGATGAAATTATAACAATAAGAATACAACTCATATCTGATCATAATAATAAGTGATCATAATAAGTGATCATAATAATAAATGGTCATGATAATAAGTGATCATAATAATAAGTGATCATAATAATAACTGATCATAACAATAACTGATCATAATAATAACTGAACATAATAATTGATCAAAATAATAATGATCATATATATATAAAGATTGTGAGCTCTTTAACATCCTTCTCAAGGGACATCCCTGACCAAAGCTATGTACACTTGACTGAAGTTAGGAAAACTGTGTACAATGACTTTCTGAGGGCACAACTTTAAGAGATGTAAGGGGATTCGAACCCAGGACCTCTGGTTTTTGGGAAAAACAACCAAACCATAACGCCACATAAAACTTAACATGTACACACCTGTAACTTGAAAATCTTGACTCTTGTTCCACCACCAGATGACACAAGTTCCAGTCTTGTTAAAGTGTGGACATTTTGCAGATCATACGTCAGGTGCCAGGTCTCATTGACGGTATCATCTCCAGGACTCCAGACGGTTGCTGGGTCCTGATCCACAGTCAGGAGAGTGTCGTTGATGTTGTGTGATGCAGAGATGGTCCAGCCACTTGTGTTGGTCAGCCAGAAGGGGTACTGAAATCCTACCAGTTCTGAAGATAAAATGTCATGGATAGATTAGTTGTGTAACAATAACAGAGGGTCTGCATACCTTTTACATGAAGTGTAGGGAGCCATTTTCATTCACCATTAATCGTGGACAGCCTCTTTAATTCATCATTAACTGTCAGTGTGAAACTCAGTAGGTCACTTTAATTCCACATACCACATCTGTTATTCTAAATTCACATAGTGAAACACCGGATTGCCCCCAAAATCTTGGAGTAGCAAGGTCCACACCACTGATTTATACACACAATGAATACAAAAGAACATTCCACTCAAGTTGTTCCAAAAGTCCTCTTAGACACTGTTGGCCTTCCTAAATTTACTGTTAAGCATTGACATTATATTAGGTATTGACAGCATCCCCCCATGCAGACCCTAACACAACTTAAGATTTGTTTTCATCATGTAATATCACCCATTAGTATAAAGAGTGCAGTTATATACACACAAAAAACTTACCCAAGCCACTTAAATCACTCAGAGCATACTGGACAGCTGTGATGTTCACAGAAGCAGAGAGGTCCACCTGGAAGTTGATGCGTAACTCTCCCAGCTTTGCACCAAAGCCGATGGTGTGGACAACCAAGTTTCCAGCAGCAAGAGGCAGGAGTTTTGCATGAACCTGTGAAACAACATGTTTATTTGGTAAACATTTCTGTATCTGCATAAACAGGTAAACTCAACTGTCCTTGGTACTGAACACCATCAACACACAAGTAAACAGAGATGTCCTTGCAACTGAACAACATGAACATACAGATAAACAAACATGTCTTTGGTGCTGAACAACATCAACACACAAGTTAACACACCTGTGCTTGGTACTGAACACCATCCAAATGCAGGAAAAACCACCTATCCTTGGTACTGAAAACCATCCATACACATGTAAACACAGATGTTCTTGGTACTTGATACAATCAACAAAAAGGTAAACAAACCTGTCGTTGGTACTGAACACCATCCATACACAGGTAAACACAGATGTCATTGGTACTGAACACCATCCACACACATGTAAACACGCCTGTCATTGGTACTGAACACCATCCAACCACATGTAAACACACATGTCCTTGGTACTGAACACCATCAACACACATGTAAACACACCTGTCATTGGTACTGAACACCATCAACACACATGTAAACACACCTGTCATTGGTACTGAACACCATCCACACACAAGTAAACACACCTGTCATTGGTACTGAATGCCATCCACATACAGGTAAACACACCTGTCCTTGGTACTGAACACCATCCACACACAGGTAAACACACCTGTCTTTGGTACTGAACACCATCAACACACAGGTAAACACGCCTGTCCTTGGTACTGAACACCATCAACACGCATGTAAGCATACCTGTCATTGGTACTGAACACCATCCACACACAGGTAAACACACCTGTCCTTGGTACTGAACACCATCAACACACATGTAAGCATACCTGTCATTGGTACTGAACACCATCCATACACATGTAAACACACCTGTCCTTGGTACTGAACACCATCCACACACAGGTAAGCACACCTGTCCTTGGTACTGAACACCATCCACACACAGGTTAACACACCTGTCCTTGGTACTGAACAACATCAACATACAGGTAAACGCACCTGTTCTTGGTATTGAACACCATCCATACACAGGTAAAGACACCTGTCCTTGGTACCAAACACCATTAACACAGAAGTAAACACAGATGTCCTTGGTACTGAACACCATCAACACACAAGTAAACACAGATGTCCTTGGTCCTAAACACCATCCACACACAAGTAAACAGAGATGTCCTTGGTACTGAACAACATCAACATACAGGTAAACAAACCTGTCCTTGGTAAAAAAAACACCATCCACACACAAGTAAACACAACTGTGCTTGGTACTGAACACCATCAGCATACAGGTAAACAAACCTGTCACTGGTACTGAACACCATCCATGTCCTGTCATTGGTACTTCACACCATCCACACACATATAAACACACCTGTCTTAATACTGAACACCATCCATACAGATAAAATACCTGTCCTTGGTACTGAACACCATCCACACACATGTAAACACACCTGTCCTTGGTACTGAACATCATAAACGTACAGGTAAACAAATCTGTCCTTGGTACTGAACACCATCCACACACATGTAAACACACCTGTCCTTGGTACTGAACATCATAAACATACAGGTAAACAAATCTGTCCTTGGTACTGAACACCATCCACACACAGGTAAACACACCTGTCCTTGGTACTGAACAGGGAACTGATTTGGTGTCCTTGTATATACTTTACTAGTTTTTAAAAAGAAAATAAGCTAGGGTTTTAAATAGTTGCGGCATTATGATTTTAATAAGTGACATGTAATATGTGCACGCAATTCAGCCTGTGGTTGCGACGTGAAACATGCCTATTGTACTGTTTATTGTATTTGTGAAATAAACCAATAATAAGAACACCATCAACGCACAGGTAAAATACCTGTCCTTAGTACTTAACACCATCCACACACATATAAACAAACCTGTCCTTGGTACTGAACACCATCAACACAAAAGGTAAACAAACCTGCTGTCTGAATACTATCCACACACAGGTAACACACTTGTCTTTGATGTTGAACACTATCCCCAGACAGGAAAATACACCTGTTCTTGGTGCTGAACACCATTCACACACATGTAAACACACCTGTCCTTGGTATTGAACACATACACACACATGTAAACACACCTGTCCTTGGTACTGAACACCATCCACACACATGTGAACACACCTGTCCTTGGTATTGAACACTATCCCCAGACAGGAAAATACACCTGTTCTTGGTGCTGAACACCATTCACACACATGTAAACACACCTGTCCTTGGTATTGAACACATACACACACATGTAAACACACCTGTCCTTGGTATTGAACACATACACACACATGTAAACACACCTGTCCTTGGTATTGAACACATTTACACACATGTAAACACACCTGTCCTTGGTATTGAACACATACGCACACAGGCAAGGAATTTAAAAAAAACTGTGGCCAAACTACTAAACTATTATGACACTGACTTATGTTGTATAAAACAAAAGATTCACAACAAGTACCAACATTTCTTATGTCTTACCACAGCTTCTTTTTCCAACACACTGGCATACTCTGCACTTTCAGGGTGAAGATATGCTGTGGCAGTCAGATTGTTGAATGGAATTCCAGGTCTGGGTTTGAAGCTTCCATACAGCCTCTCATTGACTCCAGCTTTAAAAGTAAAAGACAGGAACATATAAGTCTTCAGCATGCTAAGGTAGCCAGTTTGTACCAAATTTGCTTTGGTAATGAGGTTAGGTTAATGATAAGGTTAATGAATTACTTAACAATCAAAACTTGTGATAAAAAGGAATGAGAAAAATCCAAAATATGCAAGGAACAAACAGTTATTGTAATAATTCTGGTCTCGATTTGAGAAATTTGAGACTTTTAGGAAGCTAAGGATGAATACATGAGGTGTCAGTAAAATGCTGTGTTTTCAATTACAGTCCAGAAAAAAGTAGGGTCTGTAAGTAGAAATTCTTTTTTTTTCAGACTTGAGCTGAACTGTGTGAAATAAAGTATGTACAATTAAAATGCATCAGTACCAGAGCTGTCACTTGGACCAATCTTTCTATTTTCTTGTAGGGAACGGACAGTATGTACCCTGATTTCCTTATTTGATTCCAAAAATGCACAAAATAATGTTTCCGTGGGTTTAATATTCAGGACTCAGTTCTAAAATTTTAAGGTCTTGCAAGCTGGCTATCAAAACAAGGCTAAAGTCGGCTAGTTTTTGCTCTAGGATCAGGCTTGTAACCGGAATTCCAGAAATATATAATTTGTCCCGTCCGAAGAACTTGATCTGCTACTTGATGGTGTTCTCCATTCACCTTGCCAGAGAACGCCTTCCAAGACATTCCTGAAGAGGAACAGTTCACTGGCAGATTGTACGGAGTAGGCAAACTGTGGGTCTGAGGAGATCTGCAGAGAGAGGCCTGCTGTTCCAGGGCCGACACCTATGGCCATGACAGTCAGTCCTGAGAGGTGAAGTTGGGCAGCAGCTCGTACAGCACCTGCTGTGTCATTGGCAGCACCCTCCCCTGCTATCACTAGTGCAGTCTACAGAATAGACAAAACATTTTATCAACCAGGGTTCGAGAACAACTTTTAGGAGCATCCGTGATCCCAACCAAAAAAATTGCCTAAAGCTAGGACTCTACGCTTGAAAAAGTCTTTTTTTACATTGTGCAGTAAGACTTTTACATTGTGCAGTAAGACTTTTACATTGTGCAGTAAGACTTTTACATTGTGCAGTAAGACTTTTACATTGTGCAGTAAGACTTTTACATTGTGCAGTAAGACTTTTACATTGTGCAGTAAGACTTTTACATTGTGCGGTAAGACTTTTACATTGTGCAGTAAGACTTTTACATTGTGCAGTAAGACTTTTACATTGTGCAGTAGGACAATGACAGTGATAATGGTTGATATTGAAAACCCATGTCTGTCCTTTCCTGACATTCTTTTAGTTGTAGATTGAATGGTGTATGTACATATTTGTATCTAGTGTGCTTCTGTTTACTTGTCTTGTTTTCTTAAACCAGTTATTTGTAAAAATCGATTTTTTTTTAGCATTATCTCTCCTACTACAAAATATGACCACCGCAACATTGAATGCATTTACAGGACTCCTGACTACTTTTCTACCTTTGGAACATGCTACAAGTAGAAAATTATACCTTATTGTTTAGTACATGTAACTGCACCTGGGCATTACATAATGTCTGAACAATGTTTGATTTTACTTTAAGTCTCAGTAATGCCCAGGATTCTTTCTTTTTTTTATTAAAGAATGGTGATTTCTGAAGTATGTTTATCACTTGCAACACATGAAGCTGAAATGGGTCTACACAAAATGGGCTTATAACATTGCTGTAGCTATACAACAAAGATAGCATTAAACAGTAAACCTTCGGAATGCCTGGCCTTCCTCCATTCCTCCTGATGAAACCAAACTTGTACAGCACATTCAGACCATCTGCCAGGTTACTGCCTCCATTCAGGAACTCTATGTTACTGATAGCCTGTTGTAGTGTTCTTGAGCTAAAAGAGAGAAACATCACATAACAATCAGATAAAGCTATCAAAAACTAGATTAGACTTCAAAAAGATTCATGCATCTCAGTTTTAGCTACAGATTTCTGAATGTGAACAATAACCCATACAACATTTCACATACAACTTTTAGAACAAAATGTTTTCTTGTCTAATAGTTGTTGCTGTTGTTGTCTCTAGTACACCGCTTCTCACATTGGTATATGGTCTCACGGCATATGCTCTACTAGACTGAATCTTATTGCATACTTTGTAAGATATTGCTTACCATGTTGTCAATGGACAAAGAACACTACATAAATGTCAACAAGTACATTGTTCTTAGACAATGTTGCCCATAGCAATGCATGGTCATGCTGTTCACATTTGATTTTGCAAACTGGTTTTATTTTGTGGTAGGAGCAAAAACAAGAGTTACACAAAACAAATCAAATCAACTTTATTGCTCAACAACTGTAACTGGTACAATGTATGGCAAAGAAGAAACAACAAGGGTACATATACTAAGATATAATTCTAACAGGCTAGTCTGTAATGATACTAAAAGCTAATCTATAGTGTTTTTCTATTATATAAGAAGAGTATTTTATTTACATTCTGTCATTCAGGAAATATATCAGTCATTTAGAATATATATATACATATATAGTCACAATATGGTGTCGCTTTTGTAGTGATTCAAATATGAATTTTCCAACATACAGTGATATCTGAGTAGGACATGAAAGGAGCATATTACATGTAAAGATATCTGATTTTGAGTAGGGTAGCGTAACATTAGTTTTGGACATGTACATGTATATGTGGTGTCATCAATTGCAGTAGAGAAGTCACTGCAAAAACATTGTGAAAGATTATGAATTTACAGTATATAATAATATTATATTGTTGTTGTTTTGTTGTTATTTTATATATTATGTACAATAGTAAACAGTTCCATTACCTGGTATATGAGTCCAATCCAAACTCCTGCCATCCCTGGTTCCCATACTGCACCACTGTGACCCTGGTCCCTGTTGTTCCTATGTTCAACTCCTGAACTATCCTGGTCAGTAGGAGTTTTGTCTGGCTGAAGCCGTCCTGTCCCATAGTGCTGGAACCATCAATTACAAAGGCAAGGTCCACAGGAGCAGGGGATACAGGAGCTGGGAAAAACAAGAATTGTACAGTGTCTTTATCAACCAGATAGGAAAAGAAAATCTTCATTATGAAACTGTTACAGTAGAAGAACTAAGTCTTCTAACTGACTAAATATTCATTATGAGATGGTAGAAGAACTAAGAACTAACCTCAGAAGAACTTAAATCTTCATTTTTACAATACATGATCTGAATACTTTTCTTGGTACAGCCCAACAGGGTCCTAATAGACTTCAGGTTGATCTACACCAAAAAAGCTTTTGTGTAGTATAACTGTTGTTCTTTTTGTTTGCATATCATTTATTTATCTATACTGCTTAATCTGTCTCTTACATCTGGTACTTTTTCATGCTTAGGTCAAATCATTCGAAACTAGCATAATTTATGAAAAAATGGCAAAGGAACGTGCAATTTGAGAATGCTGATATTCCTTTAGACATCTATAGTAACTAATTTTAACAGATCACATACTAGCACGTTGGCAGAACGTACATGTACTGCACCTGTGCGAAACCCGTAATGTATTGTACATAGCACTTCGGCAGAATTTCTCATATAAGGTTGTATTCGCTCATATAAGGTTTACTTAGCATAATTCAACAGTAGTTTCCAAATGGTGTGTCGGAAAAGATATCTTCTGCAACAGTCAACATTCTGATGCAACGTTGACCAAAACTCCAACGAAAAACACAAAAATCCAGGGTTCTGCGCAGGCACAGTACGTTCTGCCGACGTGCTTCACATACCTGCAATGCTGAAGCCACTGAATTGTGGGTAGACGGCAGGTCCTGGTAGTTCCCCCTCTGTGACGGCTGCAGTGAGGCTGTCCCGCACGGCCGGCATGGCTGAATACGTTATCATCAGTCTCAGCTGAACTATCAGGGAATTAACTCTGCAGATGGAACAACAGGTTTCAGACTTCTGGGGTTTTGTGAATATGTACTGTGAAGGGGATTGCATGATGTAAATCTAAAATCTGTTCAGGATTATATTTTATTTTATTTTATTTTATTGGTTCAGCAGTATGAAAGACAGCCAGCTACAAGAGTTGTTACAAGACTTTAGACTATTTACTAATTTTAAAGGGCTAACAAGGACAATAAGATAAGTAAGATTACCTTTACCTTAAGATAAGTAAGATAAGGACAGGATATTAAAGTCAAAGACATCAACTTATTACATCTACAGGATTATCTAATAGTATACATAAATACACAAAGGCACACTAAGGAGCAGTCTGTTAAAAATAATATTTACATTTGAAGGGGTGAGAATTCAGTGTGTATGGATCTCCAAGTGAGGTTCGGATTTTGGGTTTGAATGATGTAATAGTGGGTGTAATCAGTTATTACAACACTGGGTCATCTTCAACTATCTCCTATCTACAAATCAACTCTCAAAACCACCTCCCACTCCCTTACAAGCAACCACTGTCAACCTGGAACCCACCATACAAACTCCCCTACACCAGGGTCACCCAAACCAATACTTCTGTCCCAACAGTAATTAAAAGGTTGGTAATCTCTATCAGTGCACTGTATAGTTTTTTGTCTTAGTAGTAACTGAGCTGTAAATGACATTAACACTTCAAATATCAATGACCATACTCACCCAGGCCTGATCCAAAGAGCCTGGATCACATGCACAAACAGGCCATCATTCCTCATGAGTTCAACCACCTGTACAAAAACAAACATCCTTCATGAACAGGCAGTTATTTAAAGGTTTCTCTGCAGCACAGCAACCAAAATTTAAAAACACCTGCATCACAGGAAGGCATCCCTGTGGACTGAGTCTGTACTGTGAGGACAAACTTTCGTTACAACACACTCAGTCAGGTATAAGACTTCTATGTGGGAACCAACTTCCATTACAGCCTTTTTAGTCCATAGGGGCAGTGCTAATCCACTGTGTCTAGGGCATGACACTGGATGGTGTATGGTCCATCCCTCTCCTTCTACTGACATGTACCAAACCTGAAACCAAATGTACCAAACTGAAGTCAGGGTGGAGTGAGGAAACCATGTAAACTATCTTCCCCAAGACACAATGTCTAGCCATGCAGGAATACCAGTAATTGAACCCTTGACCTCTCCATCTCATGTCTGTTGGCCTAACCACTCGGTTCTTCAACACCACTTACAGGGAATGCATAGACATTCACTAAGAAAATTCTTCTTCTTGTAACTACTCAAAACCCAAAAAGTTTGGAGAAGGTGGGACATTACATTGTAAGTCTTCAATGCATATGGTTAATACAAAAGAGAAGTCAAACCCTTCAGACATAGTTTTAGAAATAGTTTCAGACAATTTCCCTTTTTACCACATAGATTTTGTAGTTATTTTGTACTCTGTTTCAATGTTCTTTTCTTGTTATTTGCAATTTGCCGTTGTGCAGGAATTTCCAATTAACTTATTTTTACTATCAAAGAAAGACTGTATGCGATAACCAGAGCACTTCTGCAGTCACCAGGTACATGTACATTACTCACCCCATTCTCCACCTCCTGAGCTACCCTGACTGCCTGGTAAGAGTCTCTGCTGAACACCTGTGGCCAGTACCCAGCTGGGAGAGGCAGCTCCAGGGATGTGTACCGACTTGTAACAGCTGCAGGTGCAACAACAAACCAGGGTTAAACAAGAAATCAGACATTTCAGACATCAGGCAAATGTTTTCAGTTTCCATGAATTAAGACCACACCAATTTAATTTGTTGGTTAACTGATTTTTCTAGAAAAATAATGGAACGGGCGGGCGAAAAAAAACAGGCCTAGGCATCCTTTTAACAATGAATTTAACAATGAATTTTGAACTTTTAATGATACCACTGCACTGAGAGATGGAATAACTGTTGTAACAACTAGGAAGAAAAGGACTGTTTTCAACTGTTGCAGGGAAAAATATGAGCATTTTGCAGTTGAATTTTTTTTTTTTTGCAAATCAGAAAAAAAGGAGAAGCAGGCAAATCCATTAACCAAGAAATTAAATTGGTGTGGCCTTATTGGAGATTGAATGACATCATTTAAGCCATATAGACTATATAGTTCCTGCTGGCTGCCAGACAGATTCTGTGGACACTCTATTCTCAATGTCTGATGCTTTTGTTTGAATTGTCATACTGGATATCATATCTTTGAAGCTCCCAACCTCCCTCTATCCTTGTCAATCTACTCTGTCAGCAGAAATACACAAATTCACAGCCACTCAGAACAATACTTCCATAACCAGACATGGCAACAATATGCAATGTATGAAGCTTCATGATGTTTTAGTATGATAGAAAAGTGTATTTTGCAATTTTACAATTATTATAATTATTTACTGATAATGTCTTAACCAAGGCACCACCCAAGTGATTTCTGCATATAGCGTAGTGAAATGAAATAGGGCCATAGATTTATTAATCGATCTGCATGCTTCCAAAAAATTCTCCAGACACCAAGTTGAACAGTAGTTTGTGGGGTCGTGTGGCGCAACGGCAGCATGCGCGACTCAGAATCAAGAGGCCCTGGGTTCGAGTCCTGACATGCCACCAATATCTTGTGCCCTTGGGAAAGGCACTTTACACGACTTTCGCCACTAGACTCAAGTGAAAATGAGTACTGTCTGTCCAGTATTCATTTCTATGTGCGGGACACAACACCAGCAACAGCTGCCTCTGTTCCACGTGTATTGCACTGTTGCAATTTCAATAAATCAAATCATTAGTACCTTGTTGTCCAAAGAACTGGATGTCAGAAATGGCTGGTTTGCCACCTCCTCCAGTCTCTGTGATGTACAGGCGCCAGTACTGGGACGTCGCAATGAAACCAGCAAAAATCTGCTGACGGTCTGTGCCTGCAAATTTTCACAAAGTAATACATTCTTAACTTTGTCTATGTTGGAAATGAATATTTTGTTGTGGAGTGTAGAGGAGACTGAAGAGACAGTATGCATGCTATATACTATGTATGAATTGATCATATTGAAACAATCACTTAAGACCTTTCTTGTACACTTACACGTATGCCCACTGCGTTGTGACAAAATAGGCTATAGATACAATGTCCCTAAGCTAGTACTGGTCCTAAGGTCTTGGAAGTAAATTTATCTTTGCCTTGTTTCTGATGGTTAAAATGTGAGTAAGAATAGATAATGTTTTATGATCAAAGGTTTGTCTAAATTATGGAGAAATATGACTTTGCATGAAGGGAGCAGGAAGAAAGGAAACATTGATTGTATCATTTATTATAGAGTGCTTATCCAATAACTTATCTTTGCACAACACCAGCAAATCAGTACCAAGGAAAGGTGCCAATCATTAAAACAAGCACAACATCCCAATTCAAACCCACTAGATCTTTTTTGTACTATACTATACTATATTATACTCTATACTATACACAGTGTCCTCTCATTTTTTACCACAAAATCATAAAACTGTGAATATGTGTTTCACGGTTCTACTGTACTACAGAATTGTTTCAACCGTAAACCTCAAGACCTCTTTTTCCCTCCTACTGCAAAATAAAACCACTGCAAAAATACATGTATTTACAGTAATATACTGAACAATTAAACCTGCCCAATTACAATTTGTTTCTTGACACCTAAGGCCACACCAATTTAATTTGTTGTTTCTCAGATTTTTTCTGAAAAAATATGAAGCGACAGGGTGAAATAAAAAAAAAACAGGCCAAGACACCCCATGTTAGCTGGAAATGTTACAATATGAGCCATGAAGTGAACATACCAGGCTGGCTTATAATTAAAACAATAGATTTTTAACTTTTAATGAAACAAAATTGCATTGTTACATTAAAAAAACTTTAAGAAATAGGAAGAAAAGGATTTTCTTCAACTATTGGGGCCAAAAATATGACTTCCATTGAGCATTTTGCATTTAATTTAGAACAAAAAATTTTCTTTTCTTTTCTGCAAATCAGAAAAAAACTGACGGGCAAGCAACAATTTAAATTGGTGTGGCCTAAACTCCTTTGTCAAGACTGTAGTACCTTGTATCGCTGTGAAGCTCCGAACATCCTGCCAGTTGTACGGCCACGGTGAGGCTGAGACCTGCAGATTGAAGCTGATTGGATCGTTGGTGTCGTTTCCGGTAGCGACGACCCTGAACGCAGACAGTGTGTACACAGCCTGAAGGTCAAACACCATATAGGTGTCTCCTGAAGCAGGGCCTTCTGGGTACCAGTAAGTTGAAAGGTCGCCGTCCAGAGAAAGGCTTGGATCTCCAAAGCCAGATGCTACAGATGCCCAGGTGATGTTCTGGTTCCAGGTCGGGCCTTCGTATGTGGCTACAAAGAGTATAAAATGTTATATTTGTGATTGTCTGTGAGTTAAGGACATATAAACTAGCATATAGTAAGCCTTGTTTTTCAGTTGGGCCACGGCAAGTGATTTTTATGGATGAAATCAGCACGCACATTAATTTTGGGCCTATTTTGGAAAACAAACAAGAAATTTATTGCCCTCTGACAGCGGTAGACATGCTAAAAATGGGCAAAGATGTCTGTTGCCATGCCGGAATGTAGATGTCAGAAAAATATGAAGAGAGGAGACAAGACAAGGCTCTGATTTAATGACACTTGACACAGATATACATACAAACACACACACACACACACACACTGAGACTCACATAGATTTTTTACACACATACAAAGTCATGCACACATGTACATTCACACACAATTTTCCAGTCATATCACATCGAAGCAGCCATTATATATATACAAGGCAATATCTTTTTTTATAACCCACCTATAAAACCAGCATTCTCCATGGTAGACTTAAGGACGTCGTAGTCAGTGTAATGAGCCAAGTCAAACCTACAAACAGCCAGAGTACCACTTCCACTGCTGGAATTCCTACACAATAACCAAAAAACTAGTCTCAAGAAGGTTGGCAATAAAAATTGTTGCCCTGATGGCTATGGTTTCTAGCTTAATATTTTAATTAAATTTATTGTGTTATTCACCTGTTTATTAATTTGCTATGTGATATGGTTGTAGTTGTTATTTGGGTCTTTGTTTACTAGTAAGATTTTACAAGTAAGATCTTTTGGAAATGGATATGTGATGGGAACCATATCTGCATGTACAAACAGTACAGAAATTCTTGTGCAATGACTAAAATTCTTCAAGAGGGCACATATTATTAAATGTAATATGCCATACTGTTTAGCTTGCCCCTGAGGCTTTGCCAAATACAAGACAGATGTGTACATGATTATTCTCCTGTCTGAATCTGATCATAACTAAAGTGGAAAAATCCCTGCATGTGGTGGAGAATGACGTACTGGATTATCAAATGTACTAGTCTACAAGAATACTATTCTAACATATTATACAATTTAAAAAAATATATATAGAATACAACACGGGGTATTCCGTATCGCCCGAGGTACCAGCCTGACCGTGCGTCGGATCGCCCGATGGCTGAAGGCCGGAGGGAGATCTGATCCGCGGGAGGGCTGGGACCGAGGGTGATGCGGAATACACCGTGTTGTATTTTATTTATGTCATACCCACCCAAGAAAACACGCCTTTCAATGTGAAATGAGCAAAAATTTGGTGTCCCTAAACCCAAAAATGCAACAACATCAATTCCAACGTCCAAATTTTGTGTTCGCATTTTCAAAAGCAGTGCAAGTGGTTAGGGCGAAACGCGTTCGAATCGTTCTATGGAACATTTGTAAGCCCCGGGCCGTAAGCGTTAAGAACCCCCGGGCCGTACCGCTAGTTATCACACGGGCCGGAACACGACAAAATCGACGAAATCGCGGCCCAGGTAGGACATAATCATCATTATTTTGCAAGATGAAAGGATGCCTTCTAGATACGTGACTGTGTATTATGTTGTATACATATAGAATACAACACAGGGTATTCCGTATCGTTGGAGGTACCAGCCCAACCGCGCGTCAGATTGCGCGAAGGCCATCCTCGGGAGGGCTGGGACGAGGATGATGCAGAATACACCGTGTTGTATTTTATTTATGTCATACCCACCCAAGAAAACACGCCTTTCAAAGCGAAATGAGCAAAAATTTGGTGTCCCTAAACCCAAATAATGCAGGCTGCAGCAGCAATAACATTAATTCCAACGTCCAAAATTTGTATTCAAATTTTTGAAAGCGGCGCGGTTAGGGTGAAATGCGTTCGCATCATTCTATGGAACATTTGGAAGCCCGGGTCATATGCGTAAAGCCCAGGCCGTACCGTAAAGTACGGCCAGGTCTGGAACACCCATATCAAATGTAATCACGGCCCCGGTATGACATAAAGAAATTTACAGAGATGTATAGTGAGAAGGTTTCTTACAGGGGCTGGTAGTCTACAGCATATGTGTATTGAAAACCATTGAAGTTGGAGAACATGTTGAGTGTCTGGAAGAAAAAGCACAGAAGACAAATTTCTTGATTTAAGTGTCATACATGTAATCAGTCTCTTTTGCTACGTTATATCACAGCTGTTGATTGTGATAGAAAACAAACTTTATTGCACCACAATTGTATAAGGTACATGTACATACATTTGTAATAAGGCATCTACAACTATTATCATATCAAAGTATGAGTCTAATATTCTACCTGATATGTTTGAAAAAATTGTGATTTTGTATCAGTTAAATTAATAAAGCAGCAAACACTACGTTTGCACAGGCTTTTGAGTTATTTCAGTCATTGAAAAAAAACGATCATTACTGTATTTTTAATAAATTACTACATACTATTGATGCAAATCTACTGATGGTGATTACTATCTAGATGAAAAAATAGCCCTCCAGAGATAACTTCAATATAGTTGCTGAGAATAATCACTGAAAGATTGCAGATCAGTAAAAGAATATAATTGTCTTACAGGTGTCTCCAGATAAAGAGAGATGGTTTGGAAGTCTGAAGACAGTGGGTCCCTCATCGCTGCAGTGTATGGCCAGTCAGGAAGCTCTACTTTGACATAGGTTGCAACACCACCTAAAAACATACAAAATAATTCTAGATAAATAACACTTTTATGGTTTCAACTTTGCTTTTTTTGCAGTGACCCCAAAATCATACCTAAAAACTATTAGCTTAGGCCACACCAATTTAATTTCTAGGTTTACGGATTCGCCCGCTTAATTTTTTTTCTGATTTGGAAATAAAAATAAAAATTCAGAATCATCTGCAAAACGCTCATATTTTGCCCTGAAAGTTGAAAACAGTCCTTTTCATCCTAGTTGTTACAGTTATTCCATCTTTCAATGCAATGGTATCATTAAAAGTTAAAAATTCATTGTTTAAGTTTTGAACCAGACTGGTGTGTTGACTTTATGGCTCCTATCGTCACCATTTTGGGCCTAGGCCTGTTTTTATTCTTATTTTTTTCGCCCGCCTGCTCCATTATTTTTCTAGAAAAATCCGTTAACCTAGAAATTAAATTGGTGTGGCCTTACTAAAGAGTTACTCTTTACTGGTCATGACAGAAAAGACAGATTTTATATACATGTATGTACAGTTACAGGTTCATTGTACGAGAGAAATTCCCATTGAGAAGTACTTTTCAACAAGTACAATGAACAGTATAAAGTTAAAGCTGCTTTACTGAAATATTACTGAATTGCAACTGTCAGAAACTGATCAGTTCCTGACAGTCACATACATCAGTACACATGGTTTTCTTAGCGTTTGGACCACAGCTCAAGGTCCTAGATTGCATTCCATTTTCATGTAGCATACATGCCCGCTACAACAACAGTCTGCCCGACTCAGATTCAAACTCCCAACTTCTTGTCTCGATAGGCACGGTTGCTAGCCACTTAACTTTGCATGATACACACCAGCGTGCAAAATACCTGGTTGCCCAGTTGCCCCGGGCAACCAAATTTTACTTGGGGCAACCTATTTTTGAACCTTAGGTAGCCCAGTGTGCTACCTGAATTTTAAGAATGCCCCTCCCAAAAAAAATCATTCCCACTTGGCTTGCACCACTGTATCCAGCAGATGCTTTTTAATTTTAGGTATTAATGGCTTAATTACTAGTATCAGTTAACTAAAGGCTGTTAGAAATATTGTCAAAGGCTTATGTAATATGTAACATTACTTAATTTGAGGAAAGTACTTATACATGTAGGTCACTGTGGCAACCTAATTTTTGCCGTAGATCAAAAAAGGATTTTGTACACTGCAAAATAAAAAATACAGCTGTTAATGTGTTATAGCTTCCTCACCAGCAGCAATAGTTCCTGCCAGATCCTTGGCTAGTCTGTCATCCAGGTAGGTCAGGTTGGCCAGGGGGAAGGCCTGGTCAGCTGCCCGAGTCATGTTGACCAGCTGACTGGACACACCCACAGCATAGATGGACACTCCACCCCTGTAAGGTACAAGAAGTTGTTTTTATCATTTAGAACCCAGCCATCCTTCCTCAACATTTCTTGTGACATAATTAGCTAGTAGGGTGTCCCAAGAGGCAAGTGGCGGGCTGCCATCAAGCCTACGAGCATTAGCGTGCAAGCACGTCTAACCCTCAGAAGATGGGGAACAACAGACGATAGTGAGTGAGTGAGTGAGTGAGTGAGTGAGTGAGTGAGTGAGTGAGTGAGTGAGTGAGTGAGTGAGAGAGTGGACATGTATGTCAATGACATTATTTACATATATTCCATGTATTGTTATATTAACTATTTTAATGGCTAAAATGACGTTTAACGTTGTTTTACTTTTAAGGTATGTTGTTAATCTGTGTCCAAAATCCGGACACTCATGAACAAGACTATTTCTTGAGAGGGGTGAAGGAAGCCATTTACATCAGGGCCCATCACCCTTCATGAACCGTGACGGGGGCCGGCATCGTCTACCAGATACCTTTGACCCAGTGATGACGTCACACTTCAAAGAAACCACGTAAGAAGCTTCACTGGGTCAGTCTACTGAGGAAGACCAGAGTGACTGGTCGAAAGCTCTAGGTGAGAGAACTTTTTGTGTTGGAACAAAAGTTTTAACTTTAAACATGTAATTAAAAACACAGATGAACTTTCATGATAGTATAATATCATAGTGGTAACACTGTCTCTTCATGGGCAATAGTCACTTGTAGAGTATGGTATAAACTATAATATAAATAAGAACTGCAAATGTAGACTGATATAATACCAATTATCCCTGCTATGCATTAGTTTACATATACTACATAATAATAAAAAAAAATTAGTATGAATCTTACATGACTGCTTCCAGTGCAGGTCTGGACACTTCATCATCTGAGTCGCCATTGGTGAGGATGACAGCAGCCCTGTACACGTCAGGTCTGGACCCATCTCTCTCACCTAACCCATACCTCATCATGTCCCGCAGGGCTCGTCCTATGGGTCGTGAGCTACAGAATAAAAACAATTTCAAGCAATATTCTACGATACACAAAACAGCATGATTGCAAAATTAATATTTCTAAAATTCTTTATTGAAATTGCAAGAGGCTAGGACAACACAAGGTGGCCACTTAGCAGCTGAGAGCTGAAATATCATGTGACAACATATTTCATAATATTTGTATATAAGATACAAAATATTTTGCTTGAATAATGAAGCAAAGTTTATGGAATTCTGACATTTCTCATCATATCATTATATAGCATCTCAAAATCAAAAGTTAGGAAAACCCAAAAAAGGGTCACTTTCCCTTAAAAAAAATCTAATTTCTACAGTGAGATGCTGCAACTGCACATGGAAAAGGTGAGACCACTTTTTTCATTCCCAATGACCAGTCTGGACCAGACCGTGTTTTCCACCAACCCCTATATATTATTAATACTAAGTAAACTCAATGTATTCAGTAATTCATAGGAATGGTGTTACATGTACATGTACAGTGAAACGTTCTGCAGATCCCAATAACTATTGCAAAGTCTAGACAGGATTCGAGCAAACTTGTATTAAATCTCAAAGGATCTGAATATATTTACTCTCATCTGCCGAATAAACATACGGGTACGTTTATTTTTTTGGGCCCTAACATTCACCCAGTACGTTCTTATTTTGCACAGTACGTTTATTAATTTTTTGAAAACCAGTAATTTTTTTCAACTTCGTGTGAAAAAAATTGACAAATCATCGACGTGAAGACGTTCATCAACGCGTATTGTAGCGAGAAACTTGTCATTTTCGGGCCGGTTTTTGCAATCACCGCGTGCATAAATTCGTCTGAATGTTCTATTGTCATGGGTGGTGCTTATCAAAATACAAAATATTAAATGCCCCTTTTTTTTGTCTATTTCAATTCCTAATTGCATATTGCAACAGTTAAAGATTTGTGCATATATCTATCAGTAAGGGCGCATTTTATATATAATTAGTACAAGAGACACAGGTTACCCGTCAATTTTGGTAATTTTCCGGGGGGTACGCTTATTCCGGGGGTATGTTTATTTGATTTTGAAGATTTGTCCGGGGGGTACGTTTATTCCAGGGGGTATGTTTATTCGGCAGATGAGAGTAGTGAAGCCTTACCTGTTTGGTAGGGGTGCCATGTTCTGGATGTTGCTGATAGCTTCTGTAACAGACTCAGCAGTGGAAAATGAGTCCAAAGCGAAGTGTTGTCTGACTTGAGACGACACGGTGAACACCGTCACCCTCACGGCTCCAGGTCCCACCTCCAGGTGGTTGACAAGGCCTTTGGTGAAGTTCAGGATCCTGCCAAACTGGTACTGTGTGACACCGGCCGAGTGGTCAAGGATGAAAGCCAGGTCAGCAATAGCCTCGAATCTTGGTGCTGTGGAAAAATGTACCGTTGGAAATTTACAATAATGACTCATGAATACATTGCTACTTTGAAGATAATTAGCAAATATTCTTAAAAAGTGTATTTACTAAGTGTTGAGTCACTGTTCTTCAGAGTTTGCAGTTCATGAGAGCAACTGAAGTTTCCCGAGGGTCTCACCTCAGTGTTTTATGCACTGGAAGAAACCATTAATGCTGGGGGTGCCCAACATATCAGGAAAAAATTTTCTCCCATTGACGTTCTTTTGCAATGGAGGGACTGCCTCATTGTACAAAGTTTGTGCAATGGAAGAAACCACTCATAATGGGAGTGTGCAACATCTCATGAAAAAAGTTCTTTGAGGTCTCACATCAATGTTTTATGCAATGGAAGAAACCACTCATGATGGGAGTGTGCAACACCTCATGAAAAAAGTTCTTTGAGGTCTCACATCAATGTTTTATGCAATGGAAGAAACCACTCATAATGGGAGTGTGCAACATCTCATGAAAAAAGTTCTTTGAGGTCTCACATCAATATTTTATGGGATGGAAGAAACCACTCATAATCATTCAGGGAGTGTGCAACACCTCATGAAAAAAGTTCTTTGAGGTCCAACATCAATGTTTTATGCGATGGAAGAAACCACTCATATTGGGAGTGTGCAACATCTCATGAAAAAGTTCTATGAGGTCTCACATCAATGTTTATGCAATGGAAGAAACCACTAATAATGGGAGGATGCAACAAATCATGAAAAAGTTTCTTGGAGTGAGGTCCAATATAAATGTTTTATGCGATGAAAGCAACCAAGGAGAAGAAACCAATCATAGTGGGGGTGTTAGCATCTCATTGAACAAATTCCTTGGAGGTTTCACATCAATCTTTTGTGCAATGGAAGAAACCACTCACAATGGGTTAATAGTTCTTGGAAGGTCCAAAGATTAAATGTTTTTAAGCAATTATGGAAGAAATTTCTTTCAGAGAAGAGATATTTCCTTTATACTGTTGTAAAAAGTGATATAATAATATTATATCAAACTCATCAATGGCCTGATATCAACATGATATTACAATTTTGAAACCCGAAACTTAGCGTTGTTATTGACAGACAAATTCTGCATAGGGTGTGCCTTAAAATGACTCATGGCTGAGGGTGAGGAAAGGTCACTCATTGTTTAACTCTAAAGAGAAATGTCAAGACATGTTTTCATTATTGGTGGACTGAAAAAAAAACCTACTCAATTATATTATCAAGCATTTCATTAAAAAGTCACTTGTTGGTAAATGCAGGAAATTTGAAGAAATCCGACTCTTTAACAATCTTTAGGTGGCAAATGATGAACTGTGAGCACACTCTGAAACTTGCCATTCCGGTTAGGTAAGATTTTACATGCATGACCCTGCAAATGCACACAGGTTAAAAGTCACAACTCAACTGCAGGCAAATGTATTGTTCACTGTTATCTAAAAGGTCTGACATAAGTTGAAGGTTGTTCAACTTCTGAATTGTTAAAAGTAAAATCCGATGCAAATTCATCATCTGGTCCTGAAAGTATCAAGGATGCAATTGAGATGCCTCTCATAAACTCCTTGTAACAAGATAATATGAAATGGAATAGATTATACCTCATAGAATTGTATGGCATAACTTACCCATATTACACCATATGATGGTTTATGTTTCATACCACGTATATGGTTACACAATGCACATTTCTGGCATGGCCACCTGATACCACCCAGGGTATACTGGGCAACAACCTGTCAATCACCTGCAACCTGATCTCTGCCCACTCATTTCCAATCTCTGCTGCTCAGGACAAGATACATAGTACACATAAACTCTCCATAAACCAGCGCCACCCAAAATAATACTTCCATCCCAGAAGTAATGAGGAAGGTTTTTGCTTACGTCGTGCTGAACTGAAGTAGGTGTAGTTGGGGTCCAGCAGACGAGGACCAATCAGGCCTGACGACACAAAGGAGTTGTACTTTTCCCTGGTACGTGTCACGGCATAGTGTGGTGCACTGATCTTCAGGATGGCAAAGGTGGAGAAGAAGCTAAAAAGAAACAAGAAATCAGAGATTTCAGTCTTCAGTGTTTTTGTGTTTTTGTGTTTTCTTGAATGTATAAGAACCGTGGCAGGCAACAGGTATTACACCACTGAATTCCTATAAACACTGACATTCGGTCTTTGACCTTCTGTTATGACTGGCCTGATGCAATGTCTGGAACCCAAACATACAATCTCCCACTAGACCAGTGCCACCCAAAACAGTACTTCTGCTCAAGCAAATAAACATGTATGAAATAGGACTGAAAGCTGATAAAAGTTACTTCAGCCCGACTTACCCTGGCCTGAACTCGTCTAAGTCCACCTTGGCCAGTCCTCTCACCAGCGCCAGCTCAGATGAGGCATTCTACAAGTTGAAAAAAATCGTCATTAATCTCGCAACAGTGAATTTGGATTTGCTAGCTAATCATATTAATATTATGAATACATGAACATTTTTGCAGAAGATTGTAAATAATCACTAAAAGTTGTGATAAATGTTTAACTCGAACTTCAATGGTACTGGTGCAGGTGTCAGTTTGTAAGCAAAAAGATTGTTATTGGAATGTTCATTTTTTCCTGCATTTCCTCTTTATCTATGATTTAGCAGCATGCATGAATGATCTTTATTGCTCGACAGTTGCACAGGGTACAATGCATGGCAACAATGACAATGCGATCATCACGGTAATACAGTCTATTCATAGAAACTATAACTGGAAGCTGCAGAGAAGATAAGCCTTGACGGAAGCATTTAAAAAGTAATAACAGTGTAAGAAACAACAGAAAAGAAACTCAAGGAGCTTAGAGAGCTCGCGAAGCAGAAGGCACGGTGGAAAAAGATGAAGAAAGACTGAACGCGGCTACAGGACATCTCTACGAGACTGTAGACGCAGAACACAGTGAATGATGATGATGAAACAAAGTACAAAAGATAGGCTAAAATATAAAAATGTTATATCATCTTCTTATAACTTATGAGATTTCTTACCACAAAAATGTCGTCCTTGACTGCTGTGTACCGCATGGATGTCTCATTGCGCAGCTCATCGTGAAACCGCATGGTCAGACGGTAGGCTGCATAGTACTCCAGGTTTCCTTTGGAAATCATACATCAAAACATTACAGTTCATCAAACACCCCGAACATTGGCTTTATGATGCTAGCAAAGAAATAAATCTAGGCCTGCAGATCTTAAAAAGGGCCTCAACAGCAGCTAGCAGCAACAAGAGTTCTGGTTCTGTATTATTCAGCTAGGAGAAACATTTTCGCAAACCGCTATTCGGTTATCGTCAAAGTAGGTGTCTTAAAAAAAGTTAAATGACGTTTTAGGTTAATCTTAAAAATTGTATTGTGCGTTTCTGGATATTGTTGAGTTCCCTTACAAGTTGCTAAAGTGTGCTAAAATGTACGTACAATGTATCTGTATCTGTATAGCCGGTATAACCACCCTTGGGCATAACACACAAGCTTCGCAGGCACGCGGTGCGGCGCCAGCTGGCTATATTACACCGGACGACCTGTTACATCCAATCTTTGCACATGAATTGCTTAAAGCTTTCTAGTGATAATGCCCGAACTGTTCATGGTGGCGACACCATATAATGTAAGTTTAAACGGGAATTCCTATTCCGCACTTTTTACTTCTAAAAGGTCATAAGACCGACCCCGAAGTCCCACCTATCTCCGTCAAATTATGTTTTGACGGAGATACTCAACAACGGAGGGAACTCAACAATATCCAGAAACGCACAATACAATTTTTAAGATTAACCTAAAACGTCATTTAACTTTTTTTAAGACAAATATTTGACGGACGTACAGCCACTCTCCCATTGGTCGAACCGCTAATTGCCATTCTCTCATTGGTTGAACTTCAAATTGTAATGGGCATTCAGGATTGGTCTATTATTACGATAACGTACCGAATCGCGTGGACCCCGGCTCGGTGGTGAAGCCGCCGAAGCTGCCGGAGTCAACAGCCTCGGTTATCCGCCGCTTTATCTCAGGCTGGGCCTCCCTCGGGGAGCAAATCTTGAAGCCCACCCGAATCCGCCTGTGGAAAACGTTGCAAACATACGATCAATAAGTGACAATGATACGTCCAGTATCATGAATTGTTTGATGCCTTTGTGCTGTCAATTGCCATCAAAGCACTTCTTTACAGTTGAATAAGAAATAGAAACATAACAACGTGTCTTGACCCTGTCTTCATGGATTTCCCTATGAGACATCCCCTTTTTATTGAGGTGCTTGAACACAGCACGAGCTTACGTTGCGTCCATTTTGTGATTTTGCTGATTTTCAAGGGGCGCCACGACGTGATAATTAATGATGATGATAATATCAAAATTTGAATTTCTGTGGGTAGACTTAATGGTATGCAGTTATTCACAATTTAAGAATGGGGGTTTCTCCTTTTTCCAGGTGAGGCTTAGGACTTGTTGAACAACCCTCGTATCAATTCAACTTCCCCTGTCACACATTTAGAACCTTCCCCCGAACACCTTGTACGTCGACCGTGGTCAAGGCTGGCTGAAGTTCGGGAGCAGTTTGACCGGATTTAGGCCATGCCTGCCTTTATGTACTAATCGAATGAAATTTGAGTTAGATTTGACTCAAATTTCCCTACCAACTACTCCCCTACGTATACCGACTACTCATACATATGAGACAGCCACCTGCCACCCGTGAACGAACCATCCATAAACACCCGAATCAGAGTTTGAAACAGTACGAAATATTCGGCTGGCGCGGCCGAACAGTAGCCGATTGCGACCTGGCCGAACACCAGCCGACCCTGGTCCCGACCTACTCCTAACTATGATGGTTCTTGTCATGTTTATAGTTCAGTCTTGCTGTATGTGCTACTTACTTTTCTTTGGAACAATTGCACAACGATTGACATCTACTGTTTTTTTATCATATATATCTATATATTTATATATAACTTTGTATGTCTATGCCAGAGTTTATTGTATCACAGAACTGCACACGTGGATTGACTTTTTGTAGTTCGGTGCTTCTGGGGGAGACACCCAGTAATGTTCCTCATACTAAATATTGCTTTTATCTTTTTTTTTTGCGATTTTAACGATTTTAGATATTTTTAACGAATTAATATTGCCTGCTAATTTGTACACGAGTCTGTCTTTGATTTTAATAATAAACCAGTCTACTACTAGAAAACCACTCATTATCATCCTCAACTAGTCTGTACTTACACAACGCTGCGCTTCTTGCGGATGGCTTCCTGCATGATTTTCTCCACCTGTGCCCGGACCTTGTGATACAGCTGCTCCCGACGTGCAGCTTTAGCGGCAGCGGCATCTGTAACAGCACCTGGAGGCACGTGGGTCACTGTCATTTAATTTTGCATGAACAATCATAATTTTCATTACAAAAAGGTAAAATTGATTTCAAACCAGTTAAACTCAATAAAGAGATATTCACTGGTCGTGAAAGAGAGATATTTACAGTATTCACATGTTCATTAATACTATCCCGGAGAAATTCCCCCAGCTCTTGTCAACAGTACAGTCGTAATGTCACTGCAATAATCCTTTCCAGTGTGTGTGTGTGTGTGTGTGTGTGTGTGTGTGTGTGTGTGTGTGTGTGTGTGTGTGTGTGTGTGTGTGTGTGTGTGTGTGTGTGTGTGTGTGTGTGTGTGTGTGTGTGTGTGTGTGTGTGTGTGTGTGTGTGTACGTGTGTGTGTGTTTGTGTATGTGTGTGTGTTTGTGTGTGTACGTGTGTGTGTATGTGTGTGTGTGTGTGTGTGTGTGTATGTGTGTGTGTGTGTGTGTGTGTGTGTATGTGTGTGTCTCTCTGTGTGTGTGTATGTGTGTGTGTGTGTGTGTGTGTGTATGTGTGTGCGTGCGTGTGTGTGTGTGTATGTGTGTGTATGCGCGCGTGTGTGTGTGTGTGCGCGCGCGCGTGTGTGTGTGTATGTTTGTGTATGTGTATGTGTATGTGTGTATATATGTGTCTCTCTCTCTCTCTCTCTGTGTGTGTGTGTGTGTGTGTGTGTGTGTGTGTGTGTGTGAATAGTCATACGAAACATAAATTAGCTTTTCAAATAAGGTAATTTACCGGGGTTTCAGCTTATACAAAGATGAATCGGACAAAGAAAGGTTAGTGTACAGGTTAATATAGATATTCTGTTCATACATGTAGTTTCAAGATTGTTGCCAAATGTCTTGTAAAAACCCTGGACAATTGTCCTTGATTTGACACACAGCAAGCAACAAATTGTCTGATACTACACTAGTCGTCGCGTTTGGGTTGACCTCGCTCAGTACTCGTTCAACAAGAATTAACTATGTCTGTAGGCAAATAACCTTGATGACTTGGATATGTGAAAGATAAGGGCCCCAAAACAGAACAAAATATGTAAGAAGTGCGTCTAAGATCTTATTAAGAAACGGTGTATAAAAGTTACGAGAAAGTTAACAACAAGACCACTTAAAACGGTGATAAGATAAACAGTGAATGGGAGGTTCCATCTTGAATACGACAGCGGGGTTAGAAAGGTTACCGGCAAAATACGGCACGCCCATGTGTTGACTTCTCGTTCTTAGCACATTTGCACTAGGCTGGCAACCGCACTGTGTGTGGCGACCAACTTGGATGTGTGTGACCATATCTTATTGTTGTAATATTTAGATTGTGATGTAAGAGGTTAAAGTATGATTTAAGAGGGCCTGCATGGGGGGGGGGGTCGGGGGGTGGCGATTACGAATTCCGCAAAATTTTCGCCGCCGACTACGAATTACGTTCAGTCTCAGAGCTGATTACGACTTTACGCTTTGCGGCTAATGTACTGATTACGAATTACGTTGATTTTTGGGGAGGCTGCCTACGGATTACGAAGACTAAAAAGGCCAGATTACGCCTTACGAAAAAGGGCATGCAGGCCTCCAAACACACATACCGCAAATAAAGTTCTTCATTTATGAAATGGATTGGGCAATCTGCTCCAATCTGTTAAATCTTTAGTTGCCGTACGGTCGCAGTGCAGTCGCTGCACTAGTGAAAAGGGTGCCCTATAGGGATGTGACACATCCTCAGTACAGTGGCAACGAAGACATGTTCTCTGCCTTTAATAATTTTTTTAATCGTTGAGGTTCAAGAAATGAACTTTGTGTGTTTACCGTACACCATTCTGACATCAACAAATTATTTTTCGAACAAGTATATGTACGTACGGCAGGGCCGGTCTATTCTTAATGGTGCATGCATTGTAATTGTGACCAGTTTCCACGTTATGTCAGTTACTAGTGTCTTCAATGTCATAAACGGTACGTAAACAACCTTAACTGAGAGTTAAATAGCATCTGCAAGCTACGTTAGGGCTCTTAAAGGCATCCAATGCGATTTCAGGTCAGCAAAACTGGAAATATTTGGAATAAGGCAATTTTTATGATATTGACACATACTGCTTCACATTAGCACATTTCAATCAGTATTTCAAACTTTGGACATTTAAAACTGCAGAAACAAGCCCTAAGTTGAGTCATTTATTTTATGGGTGGTACCCGAAAAATCAGCCCAGGGCCCTTCCATAACCATTTTCTGTCAGACTTTTGGGTATTTGTGCTCCATGAGGGTCAATATACATTGGGGCAATGTGGTTTCAACTCAGTATGTAGATAAATGACTAGAATATTTACTTTAAAAAATAGGTTTTTCAAGCCCTAAAAACTACACTGGCTACCTTTAAACCAACAGAAGAAATATTACCCTCCCCTACTATAGGGTAGGGAAAGTCAAGCAGGCATATCGTACAATAATTATAGGTTAAAGGTGGCATGCCGCATTGCGCCTAGGTTTACCACTTTGGTAAAAGTCTTCCATACAGAAAGGCAACTACAAAAAATGATTTGTAGTCTCCCTGTTCATGCCTTTTCAGTATATGGTCAATCCAGATTCTTTTAGTTTTGTCCGTCGTTTTAATTAGAAATCTCAATGTGGACATGGCCACATGCGTCGCTCGGAACGATCGCAAACTGAGGGCAGTCTTGGTAGAGTTGTACATGTGTCGTAAAATATCCAGCTGTCTTGTTACGGAAAAGGTTGCCTTAGACACCTGTCGGTAGTTAGTTCTGTCACAGCTGCTTAAAAGTTCTACAACAACATCAGAATCTTGCGCCGTCCTGCGACGAATGTGACCTCACCCATTCTAACAAACGTGTTTTGACACCACTACTAATGACCTTGGAAACAGAAGTTGTCTTAAAACCCAAACGGTTGCGCTAACATTTCCTTACCTGTCGACTCAGCCAGTAGGGGTGCCAGCAGGAGTCCCAGTACGACCAACAACATCGCCCGGCCTCCAAACATCCTCGGCAGACCCGCCATATCGCACGGTGTACGTGCTCACTGCGGATCCGTCTGTGTAAGTCGGCCGTAGGGGCCTAAAATGAAGCTGCCACCAAACCGTACGCCCTTCAAGCCCCGCAGGGTTTTCCTTTGTTTGAGCATAGGTGGGGATGATTTGACCTGCTTAGTCACGTCAGCAGTGAATACGATAATTATATGGTTGAGCGGAGAAAACTAGACTGGCGAGGTTAGTGTACTGTGATTACATGGATCTAGCTCGCCCCATAACCCTTCTAGTGTCACAGGCCTTAGTCACGTAAAACGCATTTACAGATGGCTTAGCACAGACAAGGTATAAACATCTCATTTGATAACGAATCGGGGATTTCAGATGTTCGTCAAGTGTTTTGGTTTTGTTTTACCTTCGCCAAGAAGGTTATGGTTTTGTTATGTACGTGGTTTAGTATGATAACTCAAGAAGCTATATTAGATTGTAATGAAACTTGGTAGGGAGGTAGGTGAGAAGGTAGGGAAACCTGGTAGCCTCTACCAGGCACCGAGGATCGCAGGAAAAATAGTAGAAATTGGCCGAAATGATGGGATAGTATTATACCAGAAAGGATCCCGGGCCATAGAAGATCCAATTCGTGAATTGGGTCTTCTATGGACCGGGATCTTCTCTGGTATACTATCCCATCATTTCGGCCAATTTCTACTATTTTTCCTGCGATCCTCGGTGCCTGGTAGAGGCTAAAACTAGGTAGGGAGGTAGACTTTGGGCTTCCTAGCAGTTTGTGTAGCTACTGCAGCGGAACGGTCTGTTTTGATGTCTCGTGATCTGGACATGTCAGGGTCACGGATTTGGGTTGGTAGCCAGCTAATGTGCTTAGAAAGAAGAAGTTACGTGAGTTTGGCTCCCCGAGGAACTGCATCATCATTTGTTTACAAAATGTTGAGGAAGGATAACTCAAGAACCGGTTGGTGAGTGGTCATGATTTTTTGTATGTAGGTAGCTTAAGTGATGCTTGATATAATTACATGGCAATTATGCAAATCAGGGTTCTAATTTACATCATCAATAAGGAAATGCTATAGATTTGCTGCATTCTATGATGGGAATATTCGAACTTGTGACATATGTAATTGATAACGAGAAGAACATCAGCAGATATTGATTATGTAAATGAGATAGTTTGCAGAATTGAGAAAAAATTCGTAAGTCTTCAAGGTTAACATCATCTGGCGAAGTTATAAGGTCGTGGAACTCTCGTTGAATTGAAATTCATTCCTCAGCTTGATTAAAGTCGACGTCGTAAGGAATTCTTCGCAAATTATATGTTATATAATTAATTCGCAAATACCGATGTTGGTCTTTTGAACTATTTACTAATTCATTTATTCATTCATTATACATCAGTGTCATGAAATAGTCAAGCGTTGTTCACAATGCGTTGCTTGCCCGATAGTTATTTGGGATTCCCCAGGAATAACCGAATAAGGAACATCTACACGGGCGAGTGAACACACACAATACAAGTGCACCCTAGATAAGTGTTTCTGCAATGCGCCCATCGGATACTTACATGTAGTGTATGCTGTCTTGTTGGAGTGCAGGTTTTCTTATGATCCTTCATAGCCTCCGCTGCAGTATGTCAGTCAACTACTACCGACTCACGCTTCTGCTCGGAGTGTATAGTCTTTTGTGTCGGGCCAGTGAAGACAAATACACCGTTTCCGTGCCTGAAAATGCCAACCCTGGGACAGACGTTGTCAGTTTGCTGGAGATAGGGAAAGCGGAACTTCCGTGTGTGATCGTGGAAGGAGATCCATATGGCCGCTTCTATGTGAGTACGGACTGTACTGTAGTGGTGTTCAAGCCGCTAGACTGGTCAGTACAATCAGACTATCTCCTCAAGATTCGTGTGGGACAGCTTGAAGACAAAGGTCACCGTACGCGTATCGTCAGCGTTCTAATAATCGTGACTAACGTCCCTGGCTATCCTCCTGTGTACAACGAGACGTGTGAACCACCGGTTAGACATTCGGGGGATTCTGACGGATTTCTGTTTAGTCTTCAGGCGAGTGCACAGATTGAGACGACTAGCGGGGATGTTATTTTCGTTGAGAAGATTATTACAAAACCTCTAGAGAACTGGAATATGGAAGACCCTACGTTCACAATCGTCATAGACAACAACTGTCGTGTTAGCATAGCACTAGACGTCCGTGGCATAATGGATATGGCATTCGCAGCAGAATTGTGGCAGGCGAATCATGATCATGAGATCGGCACATTTAAACTGTCATGTTATGCGGAGTCTAATACCATACTACATGAGTTCTTCATTGAACTCTTTTTTGTCAAAGACAGGTACAAAGATAATCTACATTACCTAGAACAATACATACCGCACGTCTTGGAGAAACTTAAGAAACCACGTTTGGTCTATTTAATTTCTTATCAATATCCAGCCAAAACTGCAACTCGCTACAACTGCAACTTCCCGCCGTTACGGCGTGCCGTCGGTTTGTTTTCTCCGTACCGGCATCTGGGTGGAGTCAAAAATGTCGAGGCGGTAACTGTGGATGTGAGTCCAGTCGGCTGCCCTCCTGGTAAATACGGACTCCTTTGCAACAAGACCTGCATCTGTAAAAATGGCGCCCGTTGCCATGGTTTCAATGGTGCCTGTAAATGTACACACGGATGGCAGGGTGTGGCCTGTGACATCCCGAAGCCTGGTGTTTCGGCAACAACGACACCCAGCGAACCGGCTGATATCTACACTTCCGCCAACGTCACCATTCACTGCAAGGTCCATCACCTCATTGTCACAAGGTTATCGCTTCGACTTCCAAACGGATCTGACATTGTAAACATTAGTGGTAACCAATTAGACAAAACTGTTACTAACATACAATCTGAAGACAAGGGCCCCTATACCTGCCAAGTTCGGGACACTCATGGAAACGTCTTCAATGAAACGATTGTACTTGACATCGCCAACTGTCCACCCAATCGGAAAGGTGAGTTCTGTGATGAAGCATGTGACTGTCTCCGTGGCGCCAGCTGTGACTGGAGGTCTGGCTGCGTCTGTCCCCCGGGATGGACAGGAGACAGGTGTCAGACCACATGTCCGAACGGCACGTACGGCGAACGGTGCGCGAAGAGCTGTCCCTGTCGAAACGGTGCTAGCTGCGCCCCTAGCGACGGTGAGTGTTCCTGCACTGCTGGCTGGTTCGGTTCGTTTTGTGACGTTCCCTGTCCCAGACACAGGCACGGCTTCAGGTGTCAGAAGATCTGCACCTGTAAAAACAAAGCCACCTGCGACAACGTGGACGGCAGCTGCACCTGTGCAGCGCCCTGGAAAGGAAAGAACTGTGACGAAATCCAAGCAATTGGATCAAAAACATTGGTTGAACTCCTTGTTCCGTTAGGTTTTGGAATTGCCCTGCTTGCTTGTGTAGCGATCGTACTTCACAAAAAGCGCCCCCTGTGTGACGACACCGCCGCTGCAGACGGGGAGACTGAAGCTCTGCTGGAGTTAGAGCAGGTACAGACTTACCTGGCACAGACCGTCCAGCCGGGCTGGCTCAGACGCTGGGAGAAGGGCAGCCGACATCTGACACTGGGTCACCTGGTGGGAATGGGGATGTTCGGACACGTCATTAAGGCCAATCTGAAGATATCTACGGGAGAAATAATCACCATAGCTGCCAAGGCGGTTCGAAGAAAAGACACGCAATGTTATCGGAACTTCTACAGGGAGGCCGCCATCTTGGTAGCCGTGCATGAGGACCAGCATCACGAAAACCTTCGCTCCAACATCATACAATTGTTGGGGTTAGTAAATGAAGCGTCACGGAAATATATCCTCATGGAATACGCTTCAAAAGGAAACCTCCTGCGCTTGTTGCGACAGACACGCAGGCAGAACGGGACCGCTTCTCTCCCTCATCATCTCCGCTACGCCATCCACATTGCCCGTGCTCTTCAGGAGCTCCAACGCCTGGCCATCACACACTGTGACGTGGCCGCTCGGAACGTCCTCATCACTGCTGACGACGTGGCCAAGTTGGCCGACTTTGGACTTGCGCGAGACGTGTACGCCACCGTGCAGTATGTTAATGAAGACGGGAGAGAACAACGGCAAGACAATAAAGAAAATGAAGTTCTACCGTTAAACTGGATGTCTCTGGAATCACTAGAGAAAGGTGAATACACCTGTCAGAGTGACGTGTGGTCCTTCGGCGTGCTGCTGTGGGAGATCGCCGCGCAGGGTCAGGAGCCGCGTTACGACGGCAATAACAACCCGAGCTGCCGGCAACTAGCACAGACCCTCCGGAGAGGAATCCGGCTCAGACGGCCTCCGGAGTGTTCCGGAGAGATGTATTTCGTCATGAACTCGTGTTGGCAGGAAATGCCGTCAGAAAGACCGGATCCGGATGTGTTGGAGGAAAAACTTCAGCAAGTGCAACATGCGATGATTCCGCGCTTACTTATTGAGATGGAAACAGCAGTGTAGGCCGCCCCTGGAGGTGTCACCAAAATACATACCAAATATCATCTGAAATACGAGCGATCGCTGTTTTGTTTACATCATATACATGCAAATCATTTGAAGACATATGCAAATTATTGGTATGAACATCAGCCAACCGTCACCTGCTATTTGCCTACCACTCGCTTTTGAATTTTGGGTGGCATGTAGCTTCGTAGGTCACAAATACGTGCTATAGGTTTGAGCCCCCTACCAGTACATGTTATAACTGCAGGGGCAATTTTGTAAAAAATCTACTTGTAAGTCTTTATTTCGCCTGGCATTCTGTAGGTGTGCAGCTCTCATAAAATCATTAAACATATTTGGCGATTGTGTAAATACATATATACTGTATGCTGCTAGTACTTTTCATTAGACACTTCTTAAACAGAGCTGGACAGAATTATAAACCATGTTTCAATACTTTCTTTATACTTCTTCATGTCTTTCATCTAAAAGGCTCACAAAGACAAATGTATATCTATAAATTCACAAAGAACCTTTATTTGCAGCAAATGAAAACACTTTGATAAGTATGTTTACAAGTTGTAAAGGGCACCTATAGCTAATTACATCGTATATATGTACTTCAAGACAAAATAACGTTTTGTTTTATTGCTATTTAATGTATTAAATACAGAATAATAAAAACAACACTAGCCTAACGCTGTACATTTACAAAATACCTGCACTAATTCTATTACCTATTGTCTATGACAATCATGATTGCTAAACAAAAGTAAAGATAATAGACTTTATGATATACTACAAACATCTAGACTAATAGAGAAAATTAAACGAACTGGATGATGTTGTTAAGTACTATTCCATTTAAACAACAACGTTAGTTAATGACTATGGCATTTAAACAATAAAAGTTAGTCTATGACTATGGCAAAAGTGCAAAAACATGCAAAACATGCAAAATGAGGTTAGCTTAGACATTATAATACAGTACTTTGCATACAAATTACCTCGTACATCAGCAATGTGCCAAAGAATGCTATTAATCAGGTGCCAGCCCAGGTGCACTGCAGTGTAATCATGGTATATAACATAAACCATTGTAATCGTAATAGTAAAAATTTCCACTATTTCATAACTCAGCCAAATGAGGAATATGTCATAAAGAGTCCCCAAAGGCATTGATTTGTTTATGATCAGTTGATGATCTAACCTACCAAAATATTGTAAGTTGAGAGAACTTGAGACGTACCGCCCCTCCCCCTTCCAAATTTCATGATAATCCAACCATAGCTTCGTGATCGCATGAGTTATCGATGCTGAACTTCACACACACACACACGCACACGCACACACACACACACACACATACACACACACACACACACGCACTCACACACACACAGACACACACACACTCACTCACACACACACAGACACAGGAACACACACACACACACACAGAAACACACACACACACACACACACTCACACACATACACACACTCACTCACTCACTCACACACATACACTGTACGCATCCCTGTCGAAAAGAATACGTAAAAAAGCATCCCTGGCGACCTCATACTGCATCCTACCATCCAGGTCATACCGGGTCACCCCAATCTCCGACCACTCCAATCCACGCTGCTGAGTACAAGATACATGTACATACAAACATCCAGGGCCTCTCAAAACAATACGTCCGTCCCGGAAGTCATTAACGTCTCCAGTAATCAATTTTGACCGTCAACCTCTCATACAAAGCTGCTCAACCTTCTTTGCGCTTGCTGAACGGAATTTCTTACATTTCATGATAAGTTAAATTCAATTTCACTCTAGAAGCTACTAACCCTTTGTGCAAATAGGTAAATATATCAAAGAATGTTTGAGCCTTAGAAGAACAATACAGTACACGTTGATTCACCGTGGTTGATTCATCTCCAGTTTTGTACGTAGGTTAATCCTTTTGTTTCCATGCCACGTATCTGTTTGTATGACTAGTTTTAGCCCTTTCGAAAGTCACTGTACTTTTGTTGTGTTAATAAAGTTCTTTCTCCATGTTACTGATGACCCGGCGCAATATAACCTCATACAAATATAGGTGTTAGCAATTAGCATATTTTCTTTTATTCCAAAACAAAAAAAAACATAACAACACTTTGTATTGCTGTACATTCGTCGTTTCGTGCAAAATAAAGTTTTCTTTCAAGAAATGAAACAAAAACACAGTTGGTTAATGTCACCACCCTTTATTGCATAAAAGTATCATAGCATATTAGAAAATGATCTTCTTCACAGCAGCACTTTTGAAGTGCAAATAAGACTTTAGAAATGCCACACCACTTTACGACATAGATTGGTACTTGAATGGTTCATTAACACAGTATGTTGTTTCTTCATTATACTGATAGTCTTCAGGTGTGTTGACACCTCATCATTATCATCATTAAACATTAAGCAGAAAACGTACGGAATTTCGTTAAGATGAGACGAGCTGTCTACTTTGCCATTGGCAAACGTTCTTTTATGCTATGCTACTTGGTCTTTTCTATAACCCTCCTTGACATCTATGACACTGGTGCATCAGCAAGAAGTAGAGGCGGTGACTGACTATGGCTTCCATCTGGATCATTCGACGGTAACCTGTAAAAGAGTAAACGTATAAAACTAAAAATGATGTTAAGTTAAAATTACACCACTTGGAAACAATAGAATGCTTGAAAGTTAAGTCCCGGGCACATATGTCGTACGCGTATTATTGTTGTACGATAACATTATTGGTATAGCCGTGCCTGTAGCATTGTCGGTGTGTGGAAACAATAGAAACGCATTCGCTATCCTCACCACCCGGTCATTCCACACCACTTCGTGACCAAACAAATGGACAAATAGCCCAAATGATATTTACAAAATGGTCCCTCTCACCTTAAAGTGGACGTCTGCAGTAGTAGCTGACATCCAGGTACTTGAAGGTGCCCACACAAGGGTCTCCGAAGACACTGTTGCTGGCCCGAATGGTGCAGGCGCGCTGACCGTTACAGGCGCTGCGGACAATCCGGAGACTGGACTGGGCGTAGCAGCGTTGTGTCCGGACGGGTCCTCCTCCGCAGGGGCAGGACGAGGTCCGGCCGTAGTTAGCGGAGACCACCACCATCTCCTGCCCGGAGCCGCAGGACAGGACCGCGGTCTGATGCTCACAGGTCACGATATTCACTGTGAACATGCAGCAAGACACTTTTCACATTCCGGCCTTTTTAGTAAGAAAAAATGTACAGTTCTTAGTGGCAAGTCCGTAGTGCTCTCATCAGTGTTTGGACACAGTATCGACGATTTGCTGAATTTAGGCACGGTGGGTGTCACTCCACCGTAGAGGGAGGGAAGTGCTTTTCCCAAGGACACAACATCGGGCATGTCTATCACATCGGGATCGAACCAGTGCCCGCTAGGTTCCGAGCCGAACGCTCTGAGTCTGACCATTACACCTCACAATGCCACAAATGTAGCAAAAAGAATGAAATAACCCATATCAATCGGGGCATCACATGGCTGCTACTATCGTACATAGAAGCAATGGAATGCCCACTCCTTGACCATCATGCCTTGGCTTGAATAGTCAAAAATCTGTGTGGTCATTCCAGTTTTATCTAATCGATTTGTGACAGGTTCATCTAGCTCAGATGAGCTATCAAGCTAACATTTCACATTGAATTTATGGCTTTCTCCTAAATCTAGCCTGGTAGCAAGCCATCATAGGTTCCTAGGTATCTCTATGATGCTGTGAGTGTTTTCACGCACCAGTTTGTTTTTTACAAAGTTGGTTTTAGCCAGGAGGATTACGCATACGTGATGACAGTAATTTCTAAGTCCGACTGGAGCCGGTAAAACACTCCTAAGCAGGCCCGTAGCAAATTACCAGGCTGATTGAAGTAAAATCGGCGTGATTTAAGGTAATCGTACAGTTCAACATTAACAAAATGAATAGTAAACTAGAAACTAGAAAAGACTAAGTACTTACGTTGTTCGCTTGGAGCGAAGAGAGCCGCCAGTAGGAGAGCCAGGACCACAAAAGTCTTCATGTTGAGAACTGCAAAGGCCTGTAGAAAGATACGATGTAAAGCTGAGGAGGTCACGGTGAAAGACTCCATGTAAGATATCTTACTACTAACGCTACAGTAAAAAGAACGGTACCAAATCCCGTCTGACCTCAGGGCGATCTCCGGGGAAGGTTAATAACGTTATAAGTATTGGAAGAAAGTCTGGAGCAACGCATGCCCGTAGCCAGAATGTTGAAT